CTTCTACTGGCTGGGGAGTTGGACATCTCCTTTTTGTCTTTGTACCACCCATTTGTCTCTTAGCCACCACATTCAATTCTGAGCTGCTAAGTTTTACATTACAATAAATACCTGTAATGTGTCTCTTCTGAGTCATACTTCCTCTCACTAAATACATTATCAGCAGTTTTATATTACACAATGTGTATTTTTAGAAAGCTTCAGATGATTTAGTTTGTTTATATCACACAGTAAATTAATGAATCACAAAACCAGGACTGGCACAGAGCTCTTCTCAGCTACTAATTTCCTTAGATTTCCACCAAAATCAGTTTCGGGGGGGGGGGGGGGGACGTTACTAGTACCTTTTTATACTTTCACATGCTTCTGAAATCATTCAGATGACATACTTAGCCAGAGCAGATAGCACCCGTGTCGTTCCAGAGATTTCAGTCATCCAGCAGCAGTGGCAGCCCTGGAGAAGGCAACTCCAAGCAGCTGCGGACCTCAGGGCTATCAGGTCGCTCTAGTTCAAAGCAATCCCACAGTACCCCCCAAGTCTCTCTTAGCTAGAGCCACCACAGGACAAGCGGTTCACCAACTCTGGTTCCTTATCAGGACCTTGAGAACATTTTGTAAAAGCTGAGTTGTTGTTCTGATTTGGTTTTGTAGTTGTTCTGGTGTGTGTGGGTGTGTGTGGGTGTGGCATTTGTTAAACACAGTGGTAATCCCAGCACTTGGAAGGTAGGATTCCAAGTTAGAGGGCAGGCCAGCCTGCAAAGCAAGACCCTGTTGGGGTGCAGTGGTGGGGGTGGGGCAGGGGAAGCAATGCAAAACAAAATACCTGCATTTCAATATTTTATTTTGCTTTAAAATGAAAACTACCCAAAAAATTTATTTTAAAAACCCCAAGTGTGGGGCTGGAAAGATGACTCAGGGGTTAGGAGCATTGGCTGCTCTTCCAGAGGACTCGGGTTCAATTCCCAGCACCCACATGGCAGCTCACAACTGTCTGTAACTCCCGTTCCAGGAGATCTGACACCTTCACACAAATGCACGTAAAATAAAATTAAATAAATTATTTTTTTTAATCCCAAATGTATGACACACTAACAATAATCAATTTGTCAAAACTTACATTTCACAGACTTGGAAGATGGCTCAGTTAGTTGGCAAACTGCTTGCCACATTACCATGAGGACCTGAGTTTGGATCCCTAGCACCCACATAAATTCGGGTAGGCATAGGGATACACACATGGAATCCTAGTGCTAGAGATACTAAGATCCCTGGAGCTCACTGGCCAGCAAGTCTTGCCAAATCAGTGAGCCCCAAGTTCAGTAAGAGACCCTATGTCAAAAAATAAGGAGAGGGCCAGACAGGCAGCTCAGGAGGTAAAGGTGCTGCCACCAAGCCAGACAACCTGATTCAATCCCTGAGACCCATATGGTAGAGAGAACTGCCTTCCAAACGCTGTTCTTTGACCAATACACACACACACACACACACACACACACACACACACACACACACACACACACACACTACATGAACACATCAAAACAAGTTTAATGTAGTTTTTTATATTTTCTAATAAGGAGAGGGCTCTGGAGGGATGGCTCCGTGGTTAAGAGTGCTTGCTGCTCTAAACTTTAAAGGACATGAGTTTGGTTCTCAGGACCAACACAGAGTAGATCACAACTGCCTGTACCTCCAACTCCTGGAGGATCCCCGACCTCTGACCTTCTTAGACACCTGCACTTATGTGCACAATACTCACACATACACGTATTTTTTTTTATTAAGAAAATGATTACAACCATAAGTCTTATTTACCGTAAATTTTTTTTCTTTTCTTTTCTTTTTGGCTTTTCAAGACAGGGTTGTTTCTCTGTGTAGCCCTGTCTGTCTTGGAACTCACTCTGTAGACCAGGCTGGCCTCGAACTCACAGAGATCCACCTCCTCTGCCTCCCAAGTGCTGGGATTAAAGGCATGTGCTATCACCACCCGGTCAAAACTCTACTTCTAGGAAACAAATCCTGCTCTGCTTCAGTCCTCCCACAAGTCAGTGGAAGCTCAAGAGCTGTGTAGCCGGCAGCACGCTGCAGAACTACTGGCACCCACTTCTCCCCGTGTCCCCCGGCGTCGCCTGCCGACCTTCCTGGTTCTCCCCTGGCCCTCCGTTCACTCTATGCCACAGCCTCTGCTAGTACTTCAGTCTGCATCATTTCTCTAGATTACAGACTGGTATGACCCTTTAACGTCTTGCTCATTATTATTATTTGGTTTTGTTTTTTGTTGTTTTTTTTTTGAAACAGGGTTTCTCTGTGTAGCTTTGGAGCCTGTCCTGGAACTCGCTCTGTAGACCAGGCTGGCCTCGAACTCACAAAGATCTGCCTGACTCTGCCTCCCAAGTGCTGTAATTAAAGGCGTGTGCCACCAACACCTGGCTTTTTAAAATTTTTTAATTTGATACAGGGTCCCACTATGTTACCCTGACTGGCCTGAAACTAACTATGTAGATCAGGCTGGCCTCGAACTCACTTATCTGTCTCTGCCTTTTGAATGCACGAGAATTAACTGTTTGCCACCACGCCCACCATGTAAAGTTGTTTGTTCTTTTAACTTTTTTGCTTTTTGTTTGAGACAGGGTCTCACTATACCTCTAGCTAGTCTGGAACTCACAGAGATCTGCTTGCCTCTGCTTCCCAAATGCTGAGATTAAAAATGTATATCACCACACCTACTTCTAAATTCATGAAACTAAAAATTTCATATATTTTCACTTTAGCCTTAAAGTAGTTCCAAAAGAAGTTGTTACTTAGTCTAACATTATAAAGTGTGACATCAAGAATCCCTCCCATTTTATCTATTTAGATAGTGTGAAAGTAGCTACTGTAAAACACCCATAATAAAATTAGATTGGAATATACTGCTGGGTAATTTAAGAATTGTGGGTCATTTCGTACTCATACACTTCCAACTTCATTACTACTCTCTTTAAGGACACTGTTTACACAGTCGTTGTCTTTACTCTATTGTACATTTCCTGAGGGCAGAAGACAACTCTGCATTGGGGCCAGTGAGACGGCTCAGTGGGTACAGAGCTCTCCAAACCGGGGTCTGATCCCAGAGCCCACATAAACAGAGTGAACTCTACAGTTGTCCTCTGACCTACAGATATGCCATGGCATACATGCCCCCTCTTCCTCATATAGCACACAGACACACAATAATAACAAATACATAAAGCATAAAAAAGATGGTATCTTGCTTTAATCTTAAGGGCTGAACTGAGGCACATGGACTACAGGCCATGCTCAGATGTGTTCTAGGTCTTGATCTCACTCTGTAGGTTTTCCTAAGCTTTTGCAAAAAGCAATAAAACTAACCTAACTAAACTTCCTATTGTTTGAAACTCACTGATTATTACCAGCAACTTTTTTTGTTTGTGTTTTCGAGACTGGGTTTCTCTATGTAACCCTGGTCCTAGAACTCACTCTGTAGACCAGGCTGGCCTCAAACTCAGAGATCCACCTGCCTCTGCCTCCTGAGTGCTGGGATTAAAGGTGTGTGCCACCACCGTCCTGCAGCAAGTTTTAAAATAAAGCCCATCAACATTTGTCTTTTCTATTTTTATGGAATAAATATAAACGATCCTATCCTCTACTTGTGCTACAAATGAAATAAACTGTCTTCAAAGATACTCTGGAGTTCTCACTAATTCTAAATACCAAATAACACCCCGGAAATGTCTAATGTAAAACAAAATACATACAAACAACATACACATCCATTGTACCAAAATACACTCACAATTACTCATTTTTGAAGAAATGTGATTATACATAGACCTACATGTACAAGACAAGTCCCTCCCTGCCTCTCCACCTTCATCTGATTCATTTTTGAAATGACAAATCACAATGCTAGGTTTTTAGAATCCCATTTCCATATGGTGAATTAATCCTGCTCTATACTAGTTAAGTTCTAAGTAGCCTGCTACTGTTTGGCTCCCTTTTTCCCCTAGGTAGTCCAGGATCCCATCCAGAGAATGGTGCCATCCACACTAGGCTGGTATTCCCACTGCAGTGTAATTAATTGCGATGATTCCCCAACGGCTTGTCCAAAGACCCATCTCCCATTTGATTCTAAAGTCTACAATTCTAACCACCACAGTGTAGACGCAAACTGATGTGAACTGAAAACATCTTAAGTGCAAGGCTTAGATAAATGAGAAAAGAAGAATTCAAGACCCTTTATGGATTTATCACTCATTCTACAACCCAGCAAAAGAGGTAACAGCCTGATGCCAGAGGTGGGTAGAAACGGGATTCAAAACCAGGCTTGCTGGTCTACAGAGTGAGTTCTAGGAAAAGGTGCAAAGCTACACAGAGAAACCGTCTCAGGGGGGAAAAAACCAGGCTGGCTAATTCTTAACACCTTCTATGATGGAAGAGGTCCTCACTTACGTGCTGTAGAAAGACCATGCACAAAGAAAAATCTGCAAGGAGAGCCTCACCAGAACCTGGTTACACCAAAGGCCTGACCTTGGACGTCTAAGAACTGTGAGATTTTTTTTATTTAAGCCATCTGGGCCATTGCATTTTATTATAGCAGTGTGAGCAGACTTGCATTGTGTGAGCAGACTAAGAGCTTGCATTGTTCCAGGCACTCATTAAGATTTTTATCAACTTGCACTTAAGTGTCAAAATCTTCACATCTGAACTTTTCATGCACGTGCGTGGGTACACACAGACACACACACTCCTAGTGATTAACCACACATGCTAGGCAACCACTTTTACCAATAAGCTAAACCCTCAAACTCTAAAGCTGAGCTTTTCAAGGCCCTTTTTCCTAATAAACAGATATTAAATTTACTCACAAGTAATTCCCAAAACAGAGACTGTTAGAATGGAATGAGACTCATACACTTATTTTTGTTTAAGAGAACTCTATATTTTATGCCATTTGTATAGGCTCAATGAATTAAGACATACCTTGGGGGAAATATGGCTCCTTTGTCAAAGTTAAAAGTTTTATTTCTGAATAGAAAGTAGATGCTTCTGATTCCCAAAATAACCATAGTAGGATACGCCCAATCTTAAGCTTTAAATAGCTATATAATAACACAGCAACAGTAGGTCCAAAGCTGAAGAAGTGTTTTTCTTCTTCTGGACAGCTGTGATTCCTCAACTGGTGGTGGGCACCTTGTTAAAGCACGAGCGCCACAGTGTTTCCACTTCTCGGGTGACAACAGCACCTCTGCCGGACACCACACAAACTACTGATCTGAGGTAGTTCACATTTTCAGTACTGCAGGACATTGCGTGACTTCCCACGACAGCACACCTTTGTAACAACGGTCAGCAGTTTGATAAGCAGCACTGCTCGAGAAACCTGGCCAGGAATGGCTGCTGTTCCAGGGTGAGGCATCGAGCAGCGTCCAGAATCAGTGGTGACGACGGTGCCAAGTCCTCGGTTATTTGGACCTGATGATTGCTTCTGGCTGGGGACACTGAGAAATGACTGAAACACGACAGGGTGTCACAGGCTAAGAAAGCTTGGGAATATCCGTTGTATAAGCAAGAAAAATACAAAACAAGTCATTTAGTTTTTTCTCTTTCTACCTAGAAATTTTCTAAATAAATACCATATAAAAATGGGAAAAATATATACAAACATACATACAAAGTTTGGATTTTTATTGAAATCTCGTTAAGTATCAAACAAAATCTGCTTTCTTCAGATAAAAATACTCTCTCGGATGTCTCCAGATAGAACTGCTAAGTCTAAATTGGTCCTCCAATGTCTTTTTTTTTTGTCCTCATGAAATGTCCATTCACTTGGGGTGCTCCCATGTCTATCGAGTAAAAGAGCGCACGTGACGACCTCTCCCACTGCCTCCACTAACAAACTTTCCTCTTGAGCCTCCACTGCCGCTATTGGTGCCAGCCCAGGAAGGCCCGAGCCCCCCACGGCCTCTAGAAGCACGGTCCCGGGGACTCGGACGGTAGCCTAGAGAAGAAAAAAGACCACTTAGTTCAACCATCCTTTCTTTTCCTGCTGTATTAGTGCTTATACTTTTAAATAGGCAGGCTGTGATTTTTGAGAATTATATCCCAAATAAAACTCACTTTAGAGCTGGAGAGAGAATTCAGTAGTTAAGAGCATTTACTGTTCTTTCAGAGGACTGGCCCTCCAGGCCTTCTCAGCACCTGTCAGGTAACTCCAGCTCCAGGGAATCCAGTGCCTTCCTAGGCCCTCCTCAGGTACTTACACAAGCACAGACACACCCCTCTACACACACACACACACATCCTTAGACACATACACCCCTAGACCCACACCTACATACATACCCCTACACACACACCTACACACACAATCTTTTTGAAAAAGAACTCATTTTTAGAATGCTCATTTAAAACCAAAGCTACTTTTGACTGGAATCCCAAAGTTGAGTAGTAATGTAGAAAAGACTCTACGCTTATAATACTGTACACTGAACAGTATCTACCATACGATGCTACCTTTGCTATCAAAACACTTTGCAGTTAAAAAGGCACCATAACCACTGGTTTATTTTTAAATAGACCCTATCATCATGAGACATTACTTATGCTAACAGTTAAATTTCATTCCCTGACATAAATCTAACTCTAAAATAAGTCAACACACTAAAATAGTCTCTCCCATAACAGAAGTAAACGGCCTTCACAATCTGAAGGCAAGGACGCTCAGCAGGAACACGTGGGGAGGAGCACGCACCTGTGGAACTAAGTGGCCTTAATGGTGGAAGAGGACCCCGGTTAAAATTGCTCTGGCCGCCACGGCTTTCATTGTAATTTCCTCGAGGAGTGTTCTGAGCACTCCAGCTAGAGCCTCTGGTTCCTTCCCGACGGCTGTAGTTCCCTAAACACAAACAACACAGTCAAAACTGATTTCATACTTGGATTGTTTCTGTTGCTGGGGGATTTCTGAGAAAGGGTCTTGCCATGTCATAGCCCAAACCGGCTTCAAACTTGCAGTCTTCCTGCCTTCATCTTCTGAGTGTGGAGGTTACAGGGCACTCAGCATCACAGGAGTAATGGAAATCTCACAGGCTTTTCTTAATCTTCAGAACTGATGGAACAGAAGCTGAAAGTCTGTACGCTGAACAGCATCTCACAATGGTTAAAAGCAGGTGACTATAGTGCCAGACTGTCATGTTCAAACAGCAGTTCTGTCCCTTACATTGTCTTCTTTAAAGTGAGTCTAATAAAACTACACCTTGGGGTTGACGCAAGAGTACTAGATGAAGTTCTGAGAACTGCTGTGGGATGTCTTTCTGTATGCTGTGAATATGTGTTGATTGATAAATAAAGCTGTATTGGCCTATGGCAAGGCATCTTAGAGGCAGGCAGGAAATACAAGCAGATAGACAGGAAGAAGAAGAGCAGAAGAGAAGAGACACCATCCCGCCCAGCACTGCCCAAGGAGCCACATGTACTGGGACGCAGGTAAAGCCTTGGAACATGTGGCGATACACAGATTAATAGTTACGGGTTAATTTAAGATATAAGAGCTAGCTAGCAAGAGGCCTGCCATAGACCATACAGTTTGTAAATAATATAAGCCTCTGTGTGTTCACTTGGGTCTGAGCGGCTGCAGGACCAGATGGGACACAGCAAAACTTCCAACTACAGAGAACAGTTCCTGATGTCCTATGTATACATGATTGCTATTAATACAAACTCTTCATTCATACCCCCCTAACTCAGCAGACATGAAAACATGCTATCAGTTCACCAGTAAAGAATATGGCTGGGTTGTGGTAGCCAGTCATCCAAACACTCATGAGGTAAAGAAGACAAGATTTCCTTGACTACATACTGAATTTGAAGCCAGCTTCCATACATACAATACATAAAGGACACCTAAGACCCTGTCTCAAATAAAATAGAGTGTGAAAGAGAGGAGAGAGGGAAGTGAAGAGGAGGGAGAGTAAGAGAGCAAGAGAGAAGGAAAGCAGAAGGGAGGGGAGGGAGGGAGGGGGGGAGGGAGGGAGGGAGGGAGGAGAGGAGAAGAGACTGATCTCTGAAGCCAGTGTCATGGTATATGCCTGTAATTCCAGTACTTGCTGAAGCAAGAGGATCACAAGTTTGGGATGAATCTTGCTAAATAGCAAAACTTTGTATAAAAACAAAACAATAACAACAAAGGAGTAATATCTGTAAGTATAATCAGTTTCTAAACTCAAGACAATTTAAAATAAACCAAATACAACATTAAAAGAAAATATAGGGGCTAGAGAAACAGCTCAGCAGGTAAAAACACTTGTGGTTCAACCATGAGGACCAGACTTCAAATACCAGCACCCATGCTGGGCAGCTCATAAATGCCTGTAACCCTGGTTCCAAGGGATGCAATGCTGGCCTACTCTGGACTCTGTAAGCATGCATATACACACATGTGCATGTGTACAAAACACACACACACAGACACACACACACAAATGAAACTGGTTTTAAAAAAGGAGAAAAACACATCAACCACGTACGGTAGTGTATGCCCAGCACTGTGCAAGGTCAGCACTGGGAAGAGGAAGGTCGGCAGGACTATGAGTTCCAGGCTAGCTTGAACTACATAGCAACAACCTGTCTCAGAAGAATGTAGAGAGTCAGGGAGAAGGCTCAGAGAGGAAAGAGCAGGCTACAAAAGCATGAGGAACTGAGTCTGGATCCCTAACACACATATAAATGGTAGGCAAGCATAGACAGCCACTTGTAATGCCAGCACTTGAGAGGCAGTGATAGGGGATCCCCAGGCCATGCTGGCTCGCTAGACCAGATGAATCAAAGGTTCTGTGTCGATATATACGGTGGAGAATATTTGAGGAAGACAACCAATATCACCCTTACCCTTATCCACACACATGTACCCATACATACCACAGATGCATGCAAAACAGAAAAGACAAGAAACTAGGTAAGAAAAGCAAGAGATGAATTATACAGAGCAATCTTACCAAAATGTTAAGAGGTATAATTGTGAAAATGGTATCTGTGTATTACTCAGGAAGGATATATAATTTTCATTGTAAGGGCTAGAGAGATAGCTCAGGGTTAAATGCACTGGCTGCTCTTCTAGAGGACAGGGTTCCATTCTCAGCACCTACATGGTGGTTCATACCCCTGTAACTCCAGTTTCAGGGGATCAAATGCCCTCTTCTGGCCTCGTTGAGTAACAGATACACATGTGGTGCATAGACACATATGCAAGCAAAATACCCACAGAAATAAAATATATTAAAATGTTTTCAAGTTGGTTGGTGTCCTTTAATCCCAGGACTCAGGAGATCTCTGAGTTCAAGACTAACCTGGTCTACATAATGAGTTTCAGACCAGTCAAAGGTACACTGTGAGAAGCTGCCTCAAAAAATTTTTTTTCTAATGTAAAAAGGAAAACAGTAAAAAGAAAAGAAAGAAAGAAAAAAAGCCAGGTGGTGGTGGTGCACACCTTTAATCCCAGCACTCAGGAGGCGGAGGCAGGTGGATCTCTCTGAGTTTGAGGCTAGTTAGATCTACAAAGCAAGTTGCAAGACAGCCAGGGATACACAGCCAGGGAAATCTTGTGTCCAGGAAAAGAAATAAAAAAGGAAGGAAGGGAGGAAGGGAGGAAGGGAGGAAGGGAGGAAGGGGGGAAGGGGGGAAGGGGGGAAGGAGGGAAGGAGGGAAGGAGGGAAGGAGGGAGGGAGGGAAGGAGGGAAGGAGGGAAGGAGGGAAGGAGGGAGGGAGGGAGGGAAGGAGGGAAGGAGGGAAGGAGGGAAGGAAGGGAGGGAGGGAGGGAGGAGGGAGGAGGGAGGAGGGAGGGAGGGAGGGAGGGAGGGAGGGAGGAAGGAAGGAAGGAAGGAAGGAAGGAAGGAAGGAAGGAAGGAACAAACCAACCAAAAACTAAAGTACAACCTATCAAAGGGAAGTAAACAAGAGAGATTTGTTTCATTTTACCCCTATTCAGTAGCTCTCCGCAAACAGTAACAGAGGGGCGTAACTGCATAACTGCAAGAAGAGCGCAGTGTTCTCTGAACCTCTTCTATCTGGCCACATAGTTACTCTCCATCCCTCCAGACCACTAGGAGACATAACAGACAGTTACCTTTGGAAGCAGGCGGTGTGAAAAACCTGTTCTGACTGTGAAAAGCGCCCCGCCCTCCTCGATTGCCTGAAAAGCCACCCCGAGAGGAGATCTTCTGGGACACTTTGAGCGGCCGTTTCGGCTGAGGTATTCCATCTTGAGGGACCACTTCTTTACTTTCAGCTGCTACAAAGTCATCCACATGCATAGAGGGTGGCCTGCTCGTGTTCTGTTTCCTCTGGCGGAAAATGTCATGGGGCCGTATGCCCTGTCCAAAGCCGCCCCGGCCCCGGCCTCTTGGTGGTGGCACAACATGAGCTCGCTTGGCAGGTTCAATGTATTCAGATTTCCCACTGTTAAGACAAAAGCACTCTATGGGAAAATTTTCTTTTTCAGATTTCCAGTGAAAATGTTATGTTATAGTCCATCTTTACAATACTAAAAATGGAGTTTCATTGTTTGCTGCTTCCAGTTACAGGAACTGTTCCAGTAATATTATTTTCTGTGACAATATAACAAACTAAGTATACTTGTTTGTTGATAAGACTAACAACGTTTTTTTTTTTTTTCCGAGACAGGGTTTCTCTGTGTAGCTTTGTGCCTTCACTGGAACTCACTTGGTAGCCCAGGCTGGCCTCGAACTCACAGAGATCCGCCTGGCTCTGCCTCCCGAGTGCTGGGATTAAAGGCGTGCGCCACCACCGCCCGGCTAACTAACAATATTTTTAAACAATCCAGTCCATCTGCTTCTGGCTCAAAAAAAGAACAGGACAAGGAGGGCTCAAGATAGCTCGGGGCAATCAGGAAGTACAACACCCTGGGTTCAAACCCAAGCAACAACAGCAACAAAAGAACAACATTAACACACCAGGCATACCCCGACAAATGACTCACTTTAAAAACTTCTACTACAATTATGCCAGCCAAGGTGTTCATGCCTTTAATCCAGCACTCGGGAGGCAGAGGCAGGCAGATCTGTTTGAGTTTGAGGCCAGCCTGGTCTATAGAGAGTTCCAGGACAGCCAGGGATGTTACACAGAGAAACCCTCGGGAGAAAAAAAAAAGAAGGGAAGGGGCTACAGATATGTGTCTATCTTAAAATAAGATCTTCCGTGGAATGAACTTTACCTTGAAGTTATGAAAGTCTCGTGCTTATGCTTCCCAAGTTTAAATCCCTTGGTAGTCTTAGTTCTTCCTGGAGATGACGGTTCTGACAAAAAGGAGCGCTCTAATTCTGAGTGCAAATCAAAGTCACTACAGCACTTTTCAGAGAGCTCAATCAAGTCAACCTTTACCTGCAGTCATAGACGTAAAATAAAATACATTCCATTTAAGTTTGTGTAACTTTCACTACAGAAACTGCCATTACCTACAAATTCTATTTCACTCTCACTGTAAACTGATTATAAATCTACTTCTATCTTTTCAGAAAGCAACATCATTGGTATTAACAACAACAGAAAGCCTTAGGAATTCAACAACTAATTACGGCACTCCGCCTCAAAATTACATTTACCTTTAATCTCAGCACTCAAGCAAGCGGATCTCAAGGCCAGCCTGGTCTACAGAGTGAGTTCCAAGACAGTCAGGGTTACACAGAGAAACCCTGTCTTGAAAAAGCCCCACCCCCACCCCGAACACACACACACACACACACACACACACACACACACACAAACCCCGCACACCCCTCCCCCCCTACACACGTACATACACGAAAGGGAAAGTTTAGGTTTTATCCTGTTTTTTTTTTTGTTTTTTTTTTTTTTAAGATTTATTTATTTATTATGTATATACAGTGTTCTGCCTGCATGTATCCCTGCAGGCCAGAAGAGGGCACCAGATCTCATTACAGATGGTTGGGAGCCACCATGTGGTTGCTGGGAATTGAACTCAGGAACTCTGGGAGAAACAGCTAGTGTTTTTAACCTCTGAGCCATCTCTTTAGCCTGTCTTGTGTTGTTTGTCAAGGTCTTTGTCTGTAGCTCAGTCTGGCCTGACAAGGACTATATGGTCCAGGCTGGCTTCAGGTTTAGAGCATTTATCCTGCCTCTGTCACCTTAGTGCTAGAACTTCAAATTTCAGTGTGAGCTGAAAAAGAACAACTTCTCACACAAATATTTCTAAATTATACTGCCTAATATTGCTGTGGGATAATGCTCTTGTACACTGTAAAGATATGTCACTCATATTGATTTAATAAAACGCTGATTGGCCAATAGCCAGGCAGGAAGTATAGGTGGGGTGACCAGACTAGGAGAATTCTGGGAAAGGAAGGGTAGAGTCAGGAGTCACCAGCCAAACGTAGAGGAAGCCACATGAGAATGCCTTACTGAGAAAAGGTACCAAGCCTCGTGGCTAAACATAAATAGAATTATGGGTTAACTTAAAGTGTAAGAGCTAGTTAGTAATAAGCCTGAACTACCAGCTGAGCATTTCTAAGTAACATTAAGCCTCCAAGTCAATTATTTGCGAAGCAGCTGCTGGGTATTCAGGAACTGGTGGGCAGGACAGAACCTTCCAACTACACAATATAGTAACTTAGCCCTCAACTACATGTGAGGTTTGGTTTGCTTTTTAAGGTTTATTTATTTACATTATACGTGTATGAGTGTTTTGCCTGCACATATGTGAATGCCTGGTGCCCACAGAGGTCAGGAGGGGGCATTAGATCCCCTAGAACTGGAGTGACAGGTAGTTGTGAGGGACTATATAGGCGTTAGGTGCTAAAGGTGAGTCCTCTACAAGAGCAACAAGTACTCTTAATTCTTGAGCCATCTCTCCAGCTCCCATGTGTGAGTATTTAAATTTGAATTAATTAAAACTCAACTATAAGATTCGGTGCTTTTTGTTAAGAGACAGGCTTTTACCATGTACAGCCCTGGCATGCTTGGAACTCACTGTGTAGACCAGACTGGCCTTGAGCTCACAGATGTTCTGCCTCTGCCTTCTCAGAATGAGATTACAGGTGTAAGCCACCATGCCTGACCAAAACTCAGTGCTTCAGTCACACTACCTAAATTTTAATTTTCCAACTGTCACACACAGCTACTGGCTATTATACCAAAGGCAGAAAAGCACAGAGCATTTCTACCCCTATACAAAGTTTACTGGACAGCACTGTTTTTTTTTTTTTTTTTTTTGGTTTTTTGAGACAGGGTTTCTCTGTGTAGCTTTGCGCCTTTCCTGGAACTCAATCTGTAGCCCAGGCTGGCCTCGAACTCACAGAGATCCGCCTACCTCTGCCTCCCGAGTGCTGGGATTAAAGGCGTGCACCACCGCTGCCTGGCTGGACAGCACAGTTCTAATGAATCACTAAAAAATTTAGACTAAAAATAAATCATTTAATGCAATTTTAGTTATATGTACTTTTTCCTAAGGAAAAGCAGCTCTCAATACACTGAACATATCTTAAATACAAATGATTTCATTCTTTGAGTTCATGATGAACACTAGTAGATTTCATTGATAAAGAAAATAACCAATATACAAATGCAGTAAGATGTGGGCAAAATTCTATAGAAATGCCCCTCTGAGAAGCATCAACAGCCGGTCTTTACACTCTTGAATCTTCAGCATTATGCTTACGAACATCAATTACATTAACACTATAATACACTCTACGAGTTCCCAGAGGAGAGACCACACCATTCCATCCTTGAACCCAGTGAGGAGCAAACAGCTCTGTGTCTGATATGTCACTCTGTGTCCCAGCAGCAGAAAGAGACCATGTGTGTGCTTCAGAGGACATGTGCAAGAATGTGATGTTTGTCCCTCATCACAATCTCAAAACACAAACTACTAACTAGACTGAAGCAAACAAAACAGGCAGTGTAAAAATAATGAGTTCTAGATCTCAGTAAGTGGGTGACTGTCAGAAATAACACACATCTGCCCTGAAACGGACCGTGAGAGTGTATTATATAAACTGTTAGAACACTACCAACACATCAAGAAACGAACAGAAACATCTTTTACTAGAAGTTAGTAATAAAGTCCTTCATACCAAATCGAGGTCTGTATCCATCTCTTCAGCCTGAAATGGAGTAAACCACATAGATTTCAACTGATCATCCATGACATCAGCTAGCACATATGCAGTCCTAGAATATGAGAAAAGCATTGGATTAAAAGAGTAAAAGCTATAGAAGACATAATTAAAACTATTATTCTCCAGAGGACTAATGAGATTAGCCTTTAATCCATCTAAAACCTATTCAAGAATCAGGAATCCTTAAAAACCAAAGTTTCAAAATAATCCACTGGGGGTGGGGCGGCAATGAAATGATTCCTAATGATGTTCTGTTATACTCTTAGATCAGTGCCTAGTTCAATCCTCATCAGAGTAGCTTCCTCCAGCAGCTGATAGCAGATACAGAGAACCATAAACAACCATTAGGCAGAGAGAGAGTCCAGGTTAGAGGTCTCCATCCAGTCCCTCCCCTGGGAGCTCGGGGAACCCCAGTGAAGAGGGGGCAGAGGAACTGTGGGAGCCAGAGATGTTTGAGGACACCATGAGAACACAGTCCAAGGAATCAATTAAGTAGGGCTCATGGGGTCTCACAGAGACTGAAGCGGAAATCACAGAGGAGCCTGCATATGGCTGTGCTAGGACCTCTGCATATATGTTATGGTTGCTAGCTTAGTGTTTTGGGGGACTCCTGACAGTGGGAGTGGGGGTGTCTCAGACTCGTTCGCCTGCTCTTAGGACCCATTCTCTCCCACTGGATTGCCTCGCCCAGCCTTGACGTGAGGGTGTGTGCCCGGTCTTATTGTATCTTCTTGTACTGTGTTCAGCTGATGTCCCCAAGAGGCCTGCTCTTTTCTGGGGGCACAGGGGGCGGGGAGACGGGGGAGAGAAGAGGTTGGAGGGAGGGAACGGGGAGGAGTGGAGGGAGGGGAAGCTGTGGCCAGGATGTATTATATGAAAGAATAAATAAAAATTAAAAAAAAAATCCTGCTATAACAGGCTTGGGGCTTTCAGTAAATCAAACAGAGCCTGGCTTTATTTCCAAAAGGGCAGGTTGATAGTAGCATTGTACCAGTTTGAACAGAAACTTGTAATATTTAAAATTTCTAAATATAGAGACTATGTCACATTGGATGCTCAATAAAGCTACAGTACTCCAAAAGTTAAGAGATTGATACCCTCAGCTGGGTATGGTGGGTCACACCTATCATTCCAGTAGTCAGAAGACTGAGGTAGGAAAATCACAAATTCTAAGTCAGCCTACACTGCAGGAAATCCTGTTTCCAAATAAACAACCACAAAAAAGAAGTCCTACATTCTCAGAGGTCAGGATCTATCAATCTTGTTCTGTCAGCCTGTTTTTATAGTCTGTATTGCCTGGCATAGTATGTGTATTTTTTTTTTCTTAAAAAGCAAAACAAACAACAACAACAAAAAAACTATAAAATGTGCAAGAGGCTGTCGGAAGCCTACAAACACTGTACAAAAAAGTTTGCTGACGCAAGATTCTAGCAGTCATCATTTAGATAATCTAAAGCTCACGACCCTGCTCCCTTTACCTGTTGTTGAACAGATTCTGCAGGGACTCTGGAGCTGAAAGTACTGGCTCTACATCCTGGTCACTGAGAGGCAAAGGATCACCTGACGACTCCAGCATCTGCTTCAGTCCAACTACATTATCCAACAAAGAATCCAGATTGTCATCATCTTTTGAATGTTCCTAGACACAAATATAAGCAATGAGAAGATGCCAGCAAATAAAAACTGAGCACTTACACCTCAGTCTACTGATTGTAGCAAAAGAGGTAGAATTATACCACACTAAAAATTTGGAATACCATCCAGAAGTCATCAACTTAACATCAAGTATGTTAAAAAAAAAAAAAAAAACATCAAAAACACTCGTCATTTCTTTCTAAACAACGGCAGCAGAGGCATCCTGCATTCAAAAACAAACAATTCAAACAACACTTCCTTTGTTTACTCATTAGATTCATAACAAGACGGAGAAGTGTACTCCAAATTATTAATCCAAAAATACCCAGCTAACCGTTCTATTATTTTAAAAGACCACCACAGAAAGCGTGTACTAGTCACAATGAGAAGGTACACTGGTTTATTAATATTTTTTTCTAGTTTTCTTTTTACCAAAACAAGCTTCTCTAGTTCAAGGAACAAGCTCTCTGGACTGTCTTCTTTGCTCTGTAGAAGCTGTTTTAATTCTGCGGCATTAATACTCATCGTCCGGGGCGGGTGAGCACCCTCCACCTCCATGAGACCACTATCATCTCCACAACAGCCCTGCAAATGTCACACACAACGTAAGTTTGACAGCAAGAAATCTACAAAGACGCTTCTACGTTTATTCATCTATTTCAGCTATTTGTTATACCGTGCCCCTCAGTGTTATAACTTTTAAAATTCAACAAATGGCTAGTTTTAAAAGGGACTTAGTTTACTGAAAGTGGACATGTTTTGAGTAAGAGTAATAAAATAAATAGGTAAACACATATATTTAAATTACTGATACATATTTCTCAAAAAATATTTTATATCCATAAATATTGGTGTATTTATGTTGGCACTTGATAAGACAGGTAACTGATACATGTTCAAGAGCCAGGAAGATTCCTACAAGAACAGAGAACTGAAGGAAATTGAATTATATCTCTCAAGACAATACAGGCAATAAAAATAGCAACTATCATATATAAGACCTACTGGACAAAATAAGTATTTTCTACTTTAAAATCATACATATTATTACACACACACACACACACACACACACACACACACACACAAAAGATGCATGTTAGTTAGTTATGTACATGCCAAACAGTAGTTGCTAGTCTGTCTAACATCCCTTATTTTAAAATGACACAAAATGAATTATGCTTTACCAGGAGTAAAGTCCCCAAATAAAAGGGTCCCCACTAATCCTGATGCAGGATTTAATAGTTTTGTGTGAGTTTTTGTAAGTTTATGTATACCACATGCAAGCAGGAACCCCTGAGGGCCAGGAGAGGGTGTCAGAGTCCTTAAAATTGGAGTCACAAGCAGTTGTGAGCTGCCTGATGTGGATGCTGAAAATCAGATCCTCTGCAAGAGTGGTATGTACTCAACCATTGAGCCATCTCTCCAACCCTAAAGATTCAGTATTTTTAATGGTATAAACATTCAAAATTTTGTTTGGAGTTAGTAACATTTGTCCTATAATTGCTTAAATGTCAAAAGCTAAATGAACATCATCATCATCATCATCATCATCATCATTATTTACAAGGTCTCCTGTTATTGTTGTTGTTGTTATTATTATTATTATTATTATTTACAAGGTCTCCTGTAGCCCAGGCTGGCCTTAAACTCACTATGTAGCCACAAATGCCCTTGCACTGGTCCTCCTGCATCCATTTCCCAGTTGCTGGGACTCCAAGTATGTGCCACCAAACTGGGCTATGGAGTGAAAAGTATTCTTACCAAACCTACTGGATGTGATAATGAGCCTAGAGAAGCACCTGCTCTTTTCAGAGAACACTAGAGTGAGGAAGCAGCTTACACTGTACAGCAAGAAGGCACTGGCTTTAAAGAGAAATCAGTCAACCACTGGTTCCACAGTTCTACTCTCTGCTGGAAAATGGTGAACTAGCTAATCCATGTGTTATTAGGGAAAGGATAAACAAGTTAAACAGAGTGCACTGAAAGAGTGAAGGTTTTACTTAGACAACCCTCTAGAGGCACACTTCATAAACAGAGAGATTCTGTACTTCAGTCCTTAAGAGCCCAACCCAACCAGTCTGCTTGCTGGCTTATTGGCAGTGGGGTCAGACCCAGGGCTTACACATACTCGGCAAGGGCTCCACCGTGAGTTACACTCTCAGTCCCTAGAAAGTTTTTAAACAAATACAACACGTAAAATACAACCCATTTGGGCTGGAGAGATGGCTCAGAGGTTAAGAGCACCAGCAGCTCTTCCAGAGGTCCTGAGTTCAATTCCCAGCAACCACATGGTGGCTCACAACCATCTATAATGCCATCTGGTTCCCTCTTCTGGGGTGTAGGAGTATATGAAGACAGAACATTGTATATATAATAACAATAAAAAACAAAACAAAACAAAAAAACCACTTGCTTCTAATTAAATGTAGTCTTAGAAAATGGAGGGTCAATAATAGCCAGGCAGTGGTGGTGCACCCCTCTAAACCCAGCATTCAGGAGGCAGAGGTAGGCAGATCTCTAAATTCAAGGCTAGCCTGGTCTACAGAGTGAGTTCCAGGACAGCCAGGGCTACACAAAGAAACCTTGCCTCAAAAAAATCCAAAAAAAAAAAACAAGGCAAGATAGAAAATGGAGGGTCAAATTTAGCTTATGTTGAAGTTTTCTGTATGTACAATATGATGGTAAGCAGCAACAACCGTTAAGGATTTTACAAACTAAACTCCTGGGTTGGTTGTTTCAGAAAAATGGACATTGTACTAAACGTGTGTGAAGGCATCATAAATTTCATCTACCAAACATTTTATCTATTAAACTGTGCAATACAAGCCAAGCATAATGTAATCCAAGCTACTTGGGGGCAGAGACGGGAAGACAGCAAGTGTAAGGCTGTATGGGCTCCACAACAAGTTCAAGGACAGCCTAGACAGCTCAATGATGCCCTATCTTAAACGAAAAACAAAGAAGAAAAGGATTGAGGATGTAGTTCAGTGGTAGAACATTTGCCTAGCATGTGCTAGGCCCTACCTGAGCTCAATTTCCAGCAACACACACACAATTTTAAAAAGAAGAAACACAAGAAAAGATGAAGCACCACGAACAGCCTCAGAGATCTGTAGGGCACCATTAACATCATTAAGATACTAGATTAAGCATCCAGAAGAAGGGCCAGAAAGAAAAGGCTCACTGTGCTGACATCAATCCCAGGGACCCACACGGGGGAAGGAGAGAAGAAACACTCAGAAGTGGTCCTCTGACTTCCACATGGCATTTTAACACACATACACACACACACACACACACACACACACACACACACATCAAGAGTCCAAAAGAGGAGGAAAGAATCAGAAAGTATATCTGAAGAATTAAGGCTGCACACTTCCCAAACTTATGAAATACAATTATCATGAAGAGAGCCACAGGAAGGTACCCAAAGGGCCACTAGGACCACTCAGATGGCTATAAATGACTAACAGGTGAACAGTCCACCCTGTGCAGATACGTTGGACATGGGGATGACTCATGTGCTGCAGGATAGACCCAAACAGGTAAGTGTGGTTTTTAAAACAAACTATTTATTTCTGGAATTATCTACTGTTGGGACCATGGGTGGATCAGATTAACTAAGTCTTTAGAAAACAAAACTGTCAAGATCAACAGAACTGACAAACATTTAGCCAGACTTAGAAAAAGGAAGGGATGCAGAGAGCGCTCTACCTAGCACATGAGGGCCCAGGTTCAACACCAAGCAGCACACAAAGAGGAAGACTCAAATTATAAAATCAGGAACAAAAAGGCAGGCAGCTTACTAGAAATTTTGAGTTTGTAAAAAAATACTAAGGACAACTATATACCATGAGATACTGAAGATGAACACAGAAAAATATATTCTTAAAAGGATGAAAAAGCAGCTTAGGCTTAGAAAGATCTGAATAGACTGAATTAAATTAGTATTTTAAAGAAAAAAGGGGCTCATGTCATCAGAACATTCTCTAAAACTGGAACCACAAAGAAGATAAGCATGGCCATACCACAAGGTGATACATTAATCCGTGAATTATTCCATTTCACACAGAATAAAGCTTTCCCAGAAAGAAAAGCCCAGACCCCAAATGGCTCATTAGTGAAGTATATCAAATAAATAAGAATTGATAACCCATCACGAACTTCCAGCTTACTCAATGAAGCCAAAAACCAGAAAAGACAGTTACAAATCAAGATCCCTTATGAATACAAACATAAAAATCCTCACTAAATATAACAAATTGGAACCAACAATTCACATAAAAAGAATCAAATTGGACTAATCCCAGGAAAACAATGCTGGTTCAACAATCGAAAAAAACAAAAACAAAACAAAACAAAAAAACCCCCAACCAATCCACTCAAAATAATATGGAGAAAACCCTTGTGTTTATCACAATAAAATCGTAAAACGCATTGACAAAATTCAACAACTTTTCAAGATATAAACACATAATTATGTAGCCCTGACTAGCCTGAAACTCACTATGTAGACAGCCTAAGCTAGCCTTGAGCTAATGTCATTCCTCCATTCTCTGCCTCTGAGTGCCAGGATCAGAAGCATGAACCACCAAGAGTGGCAAAAAATTTGTCAACGAAATTGGAGGATGATGTCTAGACAAGAAGGTCAACCAAAGAGCCTTAGACAGATTACATGTAAAAAGGAAACACACTAGCTAGTAAACCTACATTTTTCTCAAGGAATCTTGTATTTTGTAACCCTGAAGTAAAAGATCCTTTACAACTTTCTAAACAATAATTCTAAATGTGGGCTGAATTTCTTCAAGTAGTACTGAATTGTATGTAGTGACCCATAAGATGTGTACATGCACACACACACACACAATCAGTATTTTTATGCAAAGCTAGATTATTGTGCAATAAAAACACACAGGAACTCAGAGTTTCTAACAATATAATAATATGTATAATAAAGTTCCATACTACCAAACTTATTTAACCCTAAGTACTTAAGGCAGAGGCTTCGAGACTATGGACCACTAAGACTTAGGAAACAACTACAGAAGAGTCTAAATCAAATTTGAACAAGCATGAGCAAAACAGCTGTTCTATCTTTTGGATAACATTTCATTTTATAGTGAGATGAAAAAGGCATTCTCTAGGTTCCAAGATATTTTTTTAATTGAAGTAATTTTTTAGCCTGTGACATTTGTAATGTTTTAAAGAAATCCAATAAAAAGAATAAATGCACTCTTACCATTGCATCAGAGTTGAGGATCTGTCTCATGAATTCCAGAAACGAGGATGCAAGCTCGCCTGTGTCCTTACTGAACGTGCTGACCACTCGCTTCAGCAAAGCATGCAGTGCACCACTGTTTTTCCTCAGAGAGCTGAAATTAAAGACAACAGCAGAGCCAGTAAGAGCTGGAAAGAAAATCAAGAGGACCAGGCAGGCGTGGGGGTGCACACGTGTACTCCCAGTTCTTAGAAACAAGAGGAAAGCCCTAGGCTAGTGCTCTCACCCTTCCTAATGCTGGGACCCTTCAATCCTTTAATAGTTCCTCGTGTTGCAGTGACCCGCTACCATTATGAATTGTAATGTAAGTATCTGGTATAGAGGATATCTGATACATGACCCCTGTGAAAGAGTCATTTGATGCCCAAAGGGGTCACGGCCCACAGGTTGAGAACTGCTTCTCTAGGCCAACCAGGGCTTCACTGATGAGGTTCTGTCTTGAAACAAGACCAAAAAAAAAAAAAAAAAAAAAAAGAGAGAGATAATGTATCAAAATGTTAAGTACATAAAATTAGTATGAACAACTAAGTTCAGAATATAATTTATTTCATCATTTAAAAAAACATAAAGACATAACTTAGGTGTCTCTTGTTCACAAACTATATAACACCATAAAAGCCAGCTCATTTCTAATCTTCCATTAATTTTTTTTTTTTTTTTTTGGAAGGGACAGGCTAACCTGAAACTCACAATCCCCCCGCTCAGTCTTCCAGATGCTATGATTACAGGTCTGTATCCCATGCCTGGCATTTACTAAAAAACCTCCGTCAAGTAATAAACTTTCAAAACCTATCACAATGCACTTGCTAGTTCCCCATTTAAACTTCTTTCCATGATGCGAGGGTTTTCTAGCATCAGAGGTCAGCATTATCTCAGAGACCAGTCGGGGAAGGCTAACTGAAGAGTTACAAAGAAAAAGGAAACCAAGGGTAGGGAGCAGAGGCCAAAGAACTTCTGCTTAAGAACCAGCTGGTAAATATCTAGGCTTTGCAGGCTAAACCCAACTCAGTGTTCCTACTGCAGACTGCTGGCACAGTGGGAAGTGGTGTTGGGCAATGCACAAAGGATGCCTGTGGTCCAGCAATGCCTTATTTGCAGTAACTACAGACAACTGGGCTCAGCTTACAGTCCAGTTTACCAAGCCCAACACACAGACTTTGTATGACAAACCCCCTTGGTGTATGTCTGAAATCCTGATCATAATCTATGCACTTACAATGTTCTTAGCTTCAACAGAATTTCAAGGGCAAACCATTTCAATACTCAATTGTCTTTTAAGCTACAACATAACCAGCCAAATGGAAATAAGTATGATATTAACAAGCAGTGTTCCCATTTACCAAATGGTCAGGTTGTGAGATGCCACTGAATAAGAATATGGTAAAGCAATAAAGAGAAAATCAGCCTCCTCCTGAGAACTTTTTAACACAGATAGAAAAGTTTGACCCACAGGGATAAAATCAAACCTAAAGAAAAAGATAATAATGGAAAAATAACAGGCTCAAAACTAGACCACCGCAATTACTAGTGACTACATAAAACCTTAAGCAAATAAGCTATATTTGTGCATGCTCTATCAAAAACTATGGTCTGTACTGAGCATTTGGTTCATAGCTATAATCCAGCGGCTAAAACAGGAGGATCACATTTTCCAGGCCACCTTAGGCTATAGAACAAGGCCTTGTCTCAAACAAACAATAATAAAAACAACAATACCAAAAAAAAAAAATAATCTACAGCTAATCTATTAGAATGTCTTCCAGGAAAACAAAAAAACTGGCCGAGTCAGGGCATGGTGGTACATTCTCACTACTTTGGAGGCTGAGGCTGGAGGACTGAAGCCCAGGAGTCTGAATCCAACCTGAGCAACATCAAAAGGCTGGTCCACGTTGACAAACAGAACAACCCTGATGGTAGGATGTTCTGGAGAGGTTAAGGATCAGGGGACTCAGATGCAGTACTGACAGAAAGCAGAAAGAAGGTCTGCTTTGGAGAACAGTGTGGCAGCGTTTGATTGGCTTAAATAGGCACCTGGCACATGACCCAAAAACTCCATCAAGGTACCTAGCCAAAAGAAATGTTTTCAGATGCCCATGGAAGCCAGGCTTATACAGACTTCTAACAGTGCCATTCATTCATTCAGACACTTAGAAAAGATTTTAAATCCATTACTAACTGCCAATGAAACTCTGCCATACACAAAATTTCTCCTATGAAAGAAATCATACTTTCAACCTTCCATAATAAGTACAAATTAACTAAATGGCAGGGCACAGTATATTAAATTCTGCAAAGCCTACCTTTTTAAGTGAAACAATCCATAATCATGCTCTGCAAGAAACATCATTGTTCGAACACATGTCAGGAGACAGTTGTAACTGCTTTCGGAATTAGCTAGAGTCACCAGCAGACAGTCACAAATTGCAGTCATCAACTCTTTACTTGGTAGGGAATTCGAGAGCTGTTCAAGCTCAGAGACAGGGCCTTCAGAAGGGCTTGGCAAAATAAGTGCGATGTCCTGAGGAGGGCAGGGAGAAACATTTCAAAATGATTATCACTATCACTCCTGGCTGTTATTTCTGAACACACACCACCAACACTTAGTAACAATCCCATTAAAATATTATCGTTGGGGGCTGGAGAGATGGCTCAGGCATTAAGAGTACTGACTGCTCTTCCAGAGGACCAGGGTTCAATTACTAGCACCCACATGGTGGGTCACAACTATATGAAACTCCAGTCCCAAGGGATCTGATGCCCTGCTCTGGCCTCTGCAGGCAGTGGGCAAGTATGTTGTGCTTAGACATGCAGTAAACAAAACAACCATACAAATAAGTAAAAATTTTTGAACATTATTGCTATGGTCCTGTCTCAAACATATTCAAACAGATAATCAACAAATGATCTTTTATAAAAAAGTTACTGTAAGAACATGTATCTAAGAAAATAGACAGTGTTTTCCTTTATACTATTTTTTTACCTTTAAAAAAAAAAACTTCTAAAATTTATCTTCCATTTACACGAAAGGAAAAGAGTTTAGCATTGACTCTGAAAGGACAGAGGAGTCGCTTGGGCCTAACAACATACATATAAGGCATTATTAGCTGCTTACTGGCATCGAAGTAGTTTTTTCATCTCAGACTCAGAAAGACAAATACCACCACGGCTCTCATACGTGGATCCTAGCTTCTCATTTTCATGTTACTCATGTGGGACTGAGTGGAACTAGAAAAGGGACTGTGGCCGGGCGGTGGTGGTGCACACCTTTAATCCCAGCACTCGGGAGGCAGAGGCAGGCGGATCTTTGTGAGTTCAAGGCCAGCCTGGTCTACAGAGCGAGATCCAGGAAAGATGGGAAGCTACACAGAGAAACCCTGTCTCGAAACCCCGCCCCCAAAAAAGAAAAGGGATTGTGTGAGGGAAGATGAGGTTTTCAGGGGGAGGACTGGGGAGACATGAAGGTGGAGCACAGACTAACGCAGACAAAGGGCACAAACACAGGCGGGAGTGTGGACGGAGAGGAGCAGAGGGGACTGACCACAGCACAGCATGTCTGAAAACACCATCTTCTCCTGCCAGGTCAGTGTTCTTCGGGATGTGGCCTTTGATAGGCTGCCCATGCTCTGGTAGATGGCCCTACACCCAAGTATGTGCTGGGGACACGAAATGGACTCAGTGGGTTAGGAGAAAAAAGGAACACATGAAATTGGAAGATGATACTGGTGAGGAGACAGGAAGAACTGGGGTGGACTGGAGAGGAAGGGATGAAAGTGAGGGGTGGACTTGATCAAAACACAATGTATGTGTGTATGAAATTCTCAAACATATTTGTACTTTACAATAGAAGAGAGAAGATGGCCTTTATAAGGAACTGAACTTGGCAGTTTCAATTTTAAAATGGTTAAAAAGCTTTGGTAGTGAAATACCTTAGATCAGCCTATTATTCATTAATTTAGACTCCTTTTAAATTATAGAGGCTTCTAGAAATAAAACTTTTTGGCTGAAATTTTAGTAAACTTATCAATATTGGAATTTAAAGCTTCATAAAGAGGGACAAATAAAGCAAACAAACTTTAGGCACAATCTTCAATTAAATGTGTCCCTCTACTTTTTATACTTTTAAAAGTCAAGCTTTCCAATATTAAGCATGTCAAGCTAATTACACATCAAGAAACATCCACTACTCACTACAGAAGTCAACTGTGCTTTCAGGGGTACGAAAACACAGATCTGCATCAGAAAGCAAATGGAATGGAATCTGAGTGAAAGACTGCTCTGAATAAAGGCTAAGTGGAAAGGAAGTAAGGGGTCCTAGCCTTACTCAGCAGTCATGTGACTCAACGTGATACTTAAACACCAATCACAGAAGCCTTAAACTTTACAACTAGGTCCACAATTACAGTCTACCACTGCTGAAAAAAAGGCACATGCAAGCCCTAAGTCTTCAATGCAACTGAACTGCACTTTCATCATCCAACATAGGCTTTTACTAAAAATATTGTCTGGAAAAAAAAAGTCACATCTGTTGACTAGTTGGCATGAGCATTCTGACTAGCAAAACTGCACTGACATGGATCTCATTCAATGGAAATAGATAGAATTTCTGTCTCATGAGACTATAAACAAGTCAACAATACAAACAGCAGGAGAAAGCACTACTGGTCAAGAGCGGCTGTGAGCACTGGTCAGAACACACTAGAGCTGCAGTGACTCCTGCTGCTTCTCTGCTGTCCACAGGAAGCAGGCATGTGGCACACACTGCCATCCCAGCACTTGGGAGATGGAGGAAAACCAGTAATTCAAGGTCAGCCCTGGCCTCACAGCAAGCTTGAGGCCAGTTGGGGCTACAAAAGACATAGTCTCAAAAGACTAACCATACAAAGAAATTATTCTCACATTGACTTAACCAATATCAAAGTTATAAAACTGAAGAATGCCTTCATACATATTAATATAATTAGGAAGGAAAGTAATACAGTAAATATTAATTAGCAAAAAAAGTATTGAAAATTAGAAAAACAATCACCTAAGGTGGCAATACTACCACAGAGACCCAAAAGCTAAAGCCAAAGAGAACTATGATGCACTAGATCAGCTTGTTTTTCTTCCACATACCAAACTTACTTCCTATATAGCCCAGGAGTGATACAGCACAGGCAAGCTCTTTGCTCCCAGCCAAGATTTACAAAACACAGCACTCAGCCGGGCGGTGGTGGCGCACGCCTTTAATCCCAGCACTCGGGAGGCAGAGGCAGGGGGATCTCTGTGAGTTCGAGGCCAGCCTGGGCTACCAAGTGAGTTCCAGGAAAAGGCGCAAAGCTACACAGAGAAACCCTGTCTCGGAAAAACAAACAAACAAACAAACAAAACACAGCACTCAAGCACATATCAACACACACACTGATGATAAAAAACTGAATACCTGGTCACAGAGAGACTGCAAAATGGACGTGACATATTCCACACACTGCTGTCGAATAACACTGTCCCCAGGAGACCGTACCAAAGCTAAAAGATCCTGGAATATCTCTGCGTATCTTTCATCGCCTTTAATAGTTCCGTTAATTAGATGTAAAATAGCTAATTTACAAGCTTTGTGTGAAGCCAGAGCATCGAGGAGAGCAAGCAACCTGGTGGTCTGGCTAGTGTACTGCTTTTCTTTATCTTCTGAAGTGCTGAAATAGAACCAATGCATTCAGTAAACAAGCTGCTGGATTTTAAAGGCATCATGTAACATTTTCTATATCCAGTCACACAAATTTTGCATAAAACATACATCTCATTCCTTGGATAAAATGATAATTTTATAAATTCAGATCTTTGATAATATACTTCACCTTTTAGAACTGCAAAACTGGGACAGGAAGGTGACTCATCAAGTAAAGGCACCTGTGGAACAACCCTAGTGACCTGAGTTCAAGCCCCAGACCTCATGAAGGGAAAAAAATCAACTATAGAGTTCTCCTGACCACACACACATGAGCAGGTTATACGCACACATGTACACATTACACAATAAGTTAAAAAAAAGCCCCAAATCAAGACCTTCAACCTAACTTGCGTATGAAATAAGGAGATAGTCTTCTAAAGAAAATAATTTACATATATTAATTTATGCATACATGTGTGCATGTGTGTATATTTACACATCCATATGTTATCTGAACCTACTAAACCCTAGTTTCCAAACTATGTGAAGGAGGGTATCTGTGTCAAGAGCAACTTGAGGAAAACTTCTTAAGGTGTAATGAAAATACCTTTGCAAGTCTTCTACAATCAAGTCCAACACAGTTCTCATGATCAGAAGGGCAGTTGGAGATGCAAGGTCACACAACTGAACACAAACACGCCGCAACATATGTTGAATGGGCTGGCAGGCTGTGCCAGAGAAAGAACGAACTATTTCTTGGAGCAACTTTGCTTGAACATGAAGGTGCATGCTCCACAATTTTCGGGTGTTGAGTGCCACTGATATATCATGTGGCTCAATAACCTGTTAAAAAAGTATAACGTGTGTGTACATAGATTTTTAATATTTATTATAGTCGCAAAACTGTTCAGGAAGAACTGTTATAAAAAGAACACCTTTACTGCATGCTTAAAACATAATTTTCTATTACATAATTAAACAATTGTTTGCATTCCACAAGTCTAAAAAAAAAAAAAAACCATTGTTCTTAGGTTGGCAGTCAGTTGAGCAGAGTCCATTGGTGAAGCAATCTAATTGGCAAATTCTAGAACACGATAGAGGGGAGAAAAAAAGATTTGAAATAACAGGAAAATGTAAGTACAAGCATATACAACAACACAACCAAACTCACTTTGACAATAGGTATTTAAAACGTTACCCCACATTTCCAACTTGCTCCAGTCTCATCTCGCCCTCCACTCAGGTACTCTGTCTTTGGGAAGGAGGATGGAGACTTGCTTGGATTTGACCAGCATCCCTGGCTTTATCTAAGGAGCTAGTGCAGTCATTACAAGATGCATGTGATAGGAAGTGATACCTGCGTGGTCTGCATGGGCAAGGGAAGAGGCAGCAGCTCTGAGAGGAGAATGAGTCCAGAGAAGAAACCTTCCGGAACCTTCAAGATGGAAGAGAGCACTTCCTTTAACATTAAAGACCAAGTATTATTGGCCAGGGTCTCTTCAGAGATTGTGAGCTTTTCATTAACTCCTTGTGTAAAAGTCAGTAAGATATCAATGATATCATTCTGAATTTTCTGCTCATCACTATCCAAACGACCTGAGAGAGGGATAGAGCACAGGAGCATGTGTAAAGTAACAAGTGCTGAAGGAACACGCATGTCCTTAAACTCAAAGGATCCACCTCTCAGGAGCTCCGTCAGCATGGTTTTAAGAAGAGTGAGTGTGCAGCGAGCCACTGAAATGGTAGTAACTCTGTGAAGGGTAGTCCCCATGTTCACATGGAGCCTCCAAGGCTGCGTCAAAATAGTGTTCAATTTTTGCAGAACCCGAATAAAGGTGTCCATTCCTTCAGCAGAAAAAAGCTGAATAACAGCAAGGTTCCATTTCAGGTCCTTCTGTTGACCTTTAGATAGGATAAGGAAGGAATAAGAAAAAACTAATTACTTACATGCTAATAATCGAGAATATTTTAAACAGTTAACAAATTATAGTTACACTAGGCTTAAAGTATGGCATTTTCAAAGTATATTAATATTACCTTCAATGGGAGGCGGCGGACATGCCACATTACAGAGAACACGTAAGGCAGTGGTAAGGCCAACTCCTTCTGCAGTCATCAAGTTATCAATATTCTTCAAAAAATAAAAGCAGACAAGTTTCAGGTAGTCAGAAAATATGAGCCTCTAGAGGTAGGCTGTGCACTTGCACGTGTAAGACCCTAGGTTTAGTCTTCAGCAGAAAGCTTGAGGTGCACACCAACTACACTGCAGCATGTTTGAAGCGGGAGAAAGCTGGTGTGGCGGTGCACACCTGCAATGCCAGCAGCCTTCAGGAGGCTGAAGCAAGGATGACAGTGGCGAGTCTGAGGCTAGCCTTGGGTTACAGAGTGAGTTCTAAGGCAGCCAGGGTTAGACACAATACCCTGTCTCAAAAAATACACCAACAAACAAGAGACAGCATATAAGAAAAACCCTAGTACTAAAGAATTTTATATAAATTATTTCACCTTGGGTACATTTTTTCCTTACAAAATTTTCATTTTTTAAATTTTTTTTAATGATTTTTTTTATTTTATGTGCACTGGGGTTTTGTTTGCACATATGTGTGTGTCAGATCCCCTGGAACTAGAGTTAGACAGTTGTGAGCTGCAGTGTGGGTGCTGGGGAGTGAACCTGGGTCCTCTGAAAGAGCAGCCAGTGCTCTTAACCACCGACCCATCTCTCCACCCATATCATAGGTACATTTTGTACTGTACAATATTATGTAGAGAAAGATCAAATGTAATACATTTGCATAGTCCTAGCACTAAAACAAAGCCAGTAAGTAGAAACCTATGACTCGGGAGGCAGAGGTAAGTGAATCTCTGTGAGTTTGAGGCCAACCTGGTCTACAAAGTGAGTTCCAGGAAAGGCTCCAAAAAGCTACACAGAGGAACCCTGTCTGGGACGGGGGATTTTAAAATATGCCGGGCAGTGGTGGTGCACACCTTTAGTCCCAGCACTCGGGAGGCAGAGGCAGGCTCTGTGAGTTTGAGGCCAGCCTGGACTACAGAGTGAGTTCCAGGTCAGCCAGGCTGTTACAGTGAAACCCTGTCTTGAAAACCAGAAACATAAAACAAAACAATAATTTAAAATAACCTTTTTTCTGTATACCCATTTTATATTATCTTCTCTCACAAACGAAGCACTGACTATGCTGACAACTGAGCTCTTGTGTTCTGGGGTTGTGTTGTGTTGCTGTTTTTGTTTTGAGCCCAGGTGTCACTAGGATGCTGGATTAGCCAGGAGCTTTAGTTCTGCTCCCTCTGCCTCCTAAGTGGCTAGAATTGCAGGCATGTACCATTGTTCCAGACTGAATTTGAAAAGCCAAAGCCTATGGTTACTAAACCTTTATCGAGACTTAGGGGGGAATCTTGGAACATTTATAGACTAAATAGCATTCATTTTTTAAAATGCAGACACCAAAAAGAAGAGAAAAGGGGTTGGGGATTTAGCTCAGTGGTAGAGTGCTTGCCTAGCAAGCTCAAGGCCCTGGGTTCGGTCCTCAGCTCTGGAAAAAAAAAAAAAAAAAAGAAGAGAAAAGACAAGAAATGTAATTGTTTTCTGTATTTAAAGCTGACTATGTTTTGTTTGCAAACACCAAATAGTTTTGTTTACATTTGTAACTTTCACAGACTAACGTTATAAATAAGCTTATAACTTGAAAAAAAGTACACTAAATGATTTAAGTAGCCCAACTTCTAAGGCTCAGGGCATAAGCTTTAAAAACAAACAAAAATCCCAGTCTCCCTAATATGCTTCTATTTTCCATTGCCCTTTTCCTTCCACTTTTTTCTTGCAGTTCTACAAATTACTGAGACAACAAGAAATCCTAAGTTTCAAAGTTGGATCAATTGTGTTTAGCATATCTTAGGATAGGAATTATTTATAATATCAAAATTAACAGGGCATGATCTGAACAGGATGTGGTGGTACATGACTGTAATCTTAGGACTCAGGTAGAGGTCAGACAAAGTTCTAGAACCAGATCTTATCTCAAAACAAAAACTAAATAGAGATAAACATAAAGTTATGTAAAAATCAAATTTTTGTTTTTGTTGTTTTGGTTTTTTGAGATAGAGTCTCATGTAGCCCAGGCTGGCCTCAAACTCACTATGTAGCTGAGGACAACTCTGAACTGATCCTTACAGGTGTGGACTACCACACCCTGTGTACATGGTTCTGGGAATGGAAGCCAGAACATTCTACGCAAGCACTCTGTCAACTCAGCTACCTCCCTAGCACGGTTTCCTATGCAGTCTCTGCTGGCTTCAAACCTGCAATCCTTCTGCCTCAGCCATCCCAGTGCTGAGACTACAAGTATGCACCACCATGCCCAATTTGAAATTTGAAATTATAGAACATAATTCAATTTCTTTTCTTTTTCCTCTTTCCTTTCCTTTTTCATGTAGCCTGGGCTGCCTTGAATTACTGTGTAGCAGAGGATAACCTTAACTCCTGATCCTTCTGCCTTCCCTTCTGGAGCTGGGATTGCAGGCATATACAACAACAGGAACGTGTAATTTAATTTCTAGAACTGAATTTCTTATTAAATACTGTAATTCAAATCACCTTACATTTACTGCACATGCCATCAAAAATCACCCTACCATGTCCACGTAAACAGAATACACAATCAATCTGAGTTTACAGAGCATTAATTACTAATGAACGAAAAGAAAAACATTAAGTTTCACCTGTCATTTACAACACTGTTAAGAACACAATGGCATCAAAGGAGATAGAAATATTCCTAAGAGCCAGGCATGGTGGTGTACACCTTTAATCCCAGAACTCAGGAAGCAGGGCCAGGCCAATCTCTCTAAGTTCCAGGCTGGTTTGGTCTACATAGTAAGTTAAGGGCTGGCTACACAGTGTGACCTTGTCTATAAAGAAAAAAACAAAATCAAAAACCCAATCTACCAAAAAAAAATATATATATATATATATAGAGAGAGAGAGAGGCAGGCAGACAGACAGACAGAAGGAAAAGAAGACAAGAAGGAACCACTGCAACAGCAAGATCTGAGGCAGATAACTCTAAATACCTTGATATTACTTCAAAATAGCAACAAACGGTCAATATACAACAAAGTACTTTAATAATATGCTACAAATGCAAAACCAAGGTGGCTTTCCCTCTCACATACACAACCACACAGAGCTCCTCAGCTGAACAGTAGGGGATAATTCAGTCTATACTCATGTAGTTTAAAATGTTTGTATGTATGCCTTCAGCCCATCTTGCTATGCTGTACACTGGGTCAAGTAAGAAGAAAAAAGAAAAAGGAAAAAAAAAAAAAAACTTCCAAGATTAATGATGAATGTACTATTTTTTTATTATGAAATATTCATGAATTTTTCAGTATTACTATTATGAAACATAGACTTCACAGATTTCAACTTTTAATTTCAACTACAATGTCACTATCCAAAATTAGTAACAGAGAGAACAGGTCCACAATGGAATTATCTGGAATTGGCTATATCAATTTTCACCTAAACATTCTGAGTTAAATTACTTCATTAATTCAGGTTTAGGATACCATTAGCATTTAACTTGGAATGTTTTTGTAGTGCCTAGGAGACAACTCGGCAGATAAAAGCTTTCCAAGAAGCCTGGTGATTTTTGGTCCATCCCTGAACTCCATGTGGTGGAAGAGAGAACCAACTTCCACAAGCAGTCTTCTGACCTCCACACAAGGAGTAACCCGGATTTAAAGAGAGCATCATATGCATGTGTGTTCATAGACATGATTATCTACATCCAAGTAGCAAATATTGTACTACAAGTTAAAGGGGCCAGTCAAGGCCATGACTTCTACATTATCTAGAAAGTAACTTCAATATTATAACTATGTATCATCACAGTTTCACAACAATCAAAGCCCTTTTAACTTTTACTTACCTGTTTAACATATTCAATTAGATTTGGGATGCAGTTAATTTCAAATCTGAGGTTTTTCAGAGGTTCAAGCCACTTGCCAAGTTCTTAGAAACAAAAAGAACAATCTATAATATTTTTAAATGGAAGTCTTTATAATAAAACATTTCTCCCCAAAGGAAAACATCACATCTGCAATCATTTCAATTATCTAGATTTTACAAAAGGATGGACTCTGGTGTCTAAAATCTTTTTCTGTTTTTAGGCTAGGTCTCATGCTATACCCCAAAATGGCCTCAAACTCATGATCTTCCTGTCTAAGCCTCCCAAGTGCTAGGATTACGGGTACGTAACGCAAAGCCCACTTTCTGCATACAATTCTTTACACGTGCTTTAAATAAAATGAAAACGGAGCCCTACTATGCTGACTCAAAACTTAGTGATGACTATTATCTGAGTGCTTATCCAGTCTGCCTAATTAAAACGAATTTATTGCGGTAGCCAATGAAAACACTAAAATAAGATTTATAAATATGATTATAAACTAATATAATGCAGCATTTATTTACTGCTGTCTTCAAACCCCCAACACAAATATATATATATATATATATATTTTTTTTTTTTTTTTTTTCTAATAGGCTCAAGTTATGAAGAGACTTTAGTTGAGTAACCCTTCTTCCTTTAACAGGAAATTTCCCTTTTGTCTTTTCTTTTGTGTGTACTGGGTTAGATTAAACCTGGGTTGTCATGCATGCTAGAGAAATACCTGAACATTGAGCTGTATCACTAGCCTGATTTTGTCAACTTCTTGTCATTTTGAAAGTAACTACTTTTAAAAGTAGTCCAGTGTGCTACTCAACAGTAGTCCTGTAAGTTAACTCAGAACAGTGCAAACATCTAAATGTAACAAAACATGCAGAAACAGAACTAGAGCAAAAACTGAACCTGTCCATCTCACTGCCTCGTCTACCCTGATTAGCCAGACCACTATTAGGCACTTTCAAACTTTCTCATTTATATTCTAAAACCCTTAATGAAACCTTAAGTTTTCTAAACGCTTTTCCTAAAAGGCAACTCAAGAAATTAAAAACATGTTGGAGAGATGGCTCAGTGGGCAAGGTGTCTGCTGTGCCAAGCATGAGGACCTAGGTTCAGATCTCTGACACTCATGCAAAAGCCAGGAATGGTGTAAACAGATGTCACACACCTGTAACACCAGCACTGGTGTGGCAGACAGATGTATCTCAGGGGCTTGCTAGCCAGCCATGCTAGTTAAAATGGCAAGCTCCAGGTTCAGTGAAAGACCTTGTCCCAAAAAAATGAAGTGGAGAGCACTTAAGAAAGACATTGGATGTCATCTTCTACCCTCAAGACCTATGTATGCACACACATGAATGCACACCCACACCCATGCACACCACATGAACATACACACAAACATGAAAAAGCAATGATTACAAGAATTCAGCCTTTTTTCCTCATGCATCACAAGTGTTTAAAATGACTCCAGGTACCATACCTTGCAACTTAGCATTATTTTCATCTGCTTTACAAAGCTTCAAGAGAGATGCTGCATGCTGTTCTAGCATCTGGACATCACTGGAAGACTGAACCACCACCAAAATAAGTATGCATGCATAGTTATAAGCTACTGACTTCTTAGACTTGGAATCACTGAAATAAAATAAGGTTTTTAAGTGTGGGGTATAAAAATACTTTTTCAGGAATAAATTTAAACATTTTTTGGTATGTTGTTTTAAAGAGGTCAAGGAAATTTACAATCCAACACTATCAACATCACCTAATTTCCTGAAAATAAAGAATTAGACGTCACACTTCACTTTCGAGTCCCCTGAAAAGAGTATTAACAGTTGTCCCTCAGTATCCATGGAGTACTGGTTCCAGGACCCCCACAGATACCAAAGTTCATGGAGCCACCAGTCCCTTGGCACAGTATCACATAATATGTGCACATCTTCCCATCTACTTTAAATCAACTCCAGACTACTTGGGATACTACACAATGTAAATATTATGTGAATAGCTGTTGCACTGTTTACAGAACAAAGACAAGAAAAAAGCTTGCACATATTCAGTGCTAACACTCTCACTATATGATTCACACTGGCCTGAAACTCACTATGTAGCAAAAGATGGCTTCAAATTCACAATCCTCTTTCCTCAGCCTCCTAAGTACTGGGATTACAGGCATGTGCCACCATGCCAGGCTTAGATCCATTTCTCTCATGCACATTTTTTTTTTTCTTGAGATAGGGTCTTGTTCTGTAGACCAAATTGCCCTCAAATTTATAGGTCTGCTCCAACATGCCCAAGCGATCTAAATATTTCTGATTCATTGTGAGTTGAGTATACAGAAACAGAACCCATAGGTAAGGAGAGACAACTGGATACAAAAACAAACTCAAAAACATCACAAAGGAAAGTAAAATTCACAAGAACAAATGAACAATGAGATACTAACAAGCATGTTTCATTAACAATGAGTATTAGGAAGTGTGTTTCACTGGTCTCCTTTAACATCTCCATTGAACCTTGAAAACAGGAACAAATGTGATCATCTACTGACCTCACTCACCTTCCGTTCCAAAATCACTAAGACCGTCTACACAGGCAGAGAGGCACTGTAGTTGCTTTCATAGTTACACGGAGTTGGACCAAGTCCCCATCGAGGAGGCAGCTACCTCTATGTCACTGTCTTGCATGACACTGAACACCCCCCACCTTGTCTGCTTTTCCATGACATAAGCTAGGAGGAGAGCAGGCCTCTCTTCTCATAGCCAAAATCCTCGGCCCTATTTGGCATCTCTTTATATCATTATCTTCCTCAATTCTCTCACTGACCCAAAGCAATTCCAAAATCAGGACGGATGGTTCAGAAAACAGACAGTAAGAGAGTGCAGGCATTACACTTCAGGCATCTGTTTCTGGGCTTTAAGATTCCTTCCTACACAGGCAAAGGGATACTGTAAGAAGGTAGGTAACTGAAAGAAGCTGGAAAAAGCCCATAGCAATGCTTACTAGCCACATCACAGAGGTTCCTGCTAGCCTAATTTTTAATTAGCATATGTTATGACAAAGGATATATATATCTTTAGAAATACATACATATGTGTATATACCAAAAGAGACTTCTTTTGTAAAGCATCTACCCCATTAGTGATCTAGTTCTCTAATGTAACTGAGATTTGACGGAGTAAGTAGACAATTACCCAAGGGCTTCTTTGGAATAGTACTCCATCAGAGTAATGAGACTTTGAAGGTTTTTGTCAAGGCTGAAAACATGGCCCACAGCTGATCTTCCCACAGGATTAAAAGTAATCAGATAAAGATTGTGGAGGGTGCCTAGGAGATCTGAATGGTCAGTTTCTTCACTGGCTGTACAACGCTGGAAATGGCTGAACAGCTCTGTAATGCACTGCAGAGTCTGAGTTGAGTCCTGCAGCCACAAGGCAAATGCATCATCAGCTCCATCAGACTGAAGACCTTCTTCTTCATCTTGATCATAGAGGTGGCACAGAGCTCGGATCAGTAAGTTTGTTGCTTCATATTCTGACATAAAAAAGAGAAGGCCCTTTTGTGACTGTGCAAGAAACTTTAAAACATCCTTTGTGGCTTGCAGTACACCAGGGTGGGCACTTGTTATTGGAATCGACAGGAGCAAGGTGACCAACTCCAAGAAGTGGTGGCTGTGAAGGTACCTACGGAAGTCAAGTGAGACATTTCAGGTAGTGTAAAGCATTCCTCACAACTCAAAATCACAAGACCAGACAAAGTAAACATGTGAAGGGCTTTAATCCTCACCGTCAGAAACACAGTTTCCCCATAAATGGAAACAACTGTAACAATGTGAACACCAACTCTCCTCTGTGGTATCAAAGGAAAGCAAAAGTTCTGAATAGTCAAGAGATTCTCAAAACGACCGATGACAGGTTTTCTTTTTTCCTTAGTCACCACTGACTCTGACCCCTGTTTCTAAGCCATCTACCAAACGCTCCTTTTTCACGATGGTCTGTCTCACTGTACTTCACAGAGTGACCACTCTGTACGAACTAGTGTATCTAGGGGATACTGTCTATAGTAGAGAAACATCTCATGGATTTAGATTTACTACAGATATGAGTTAGTATCACCAGAGAAAAATACTACTATAAATTGTAGCATGTAAGTACTTACTACTAAACACAGACTTTTGGTTTTGTTTTGTTTTCTACATCAAATCTAAGAACTATTCTTAGGTCTCAGGTTGGCCTCAAACTCGCTACGCAGCCCAAGATAACTTCAAATTCACAGCAATCCTTCTGTTCAACCAAGTGATGGGATTCCTAGTGCCAGTCACCAGCCTCTGGCTTCAGAATTATGTCTTTTTAAAAGAGAGAGAGAGAGAGAGAGAGAGAGAGAGAGAGAGAGAGAGTGTGTGTGTGTGTGTGTGTGTGTGTGTGTGTGTGTGTGTGTGTGTGTGTGTGTGTGTGTGTAAATCAGAGGACAACCTGAGAGCTGGTTCTCTGGTTCTCTCCTTCTATTATGTGTGTTCTGAGGATCAAACTGAAGCCTCCAGGCTTAGTGGCAAGTGCCTTTACCTACTGGGTCATCTTGCCAGCTCCAGAACTATTCTTAGTATATACAACAGTTCTTTAAAGATTGATTTTTAATTATGTGTCTCTGTGTGTGTCTGTGTGTGAATACACACATGTGGGTGTAGGTCTATGAGGTGACCTGAGGTGGCCAGCACCAATGGATTCCCTGGGAGATGCAGTTACTGGCAGCTGTGAGCAACCCGGTGAATGTGGGTGCTGGGAATCAAGCTGGTCCTCTGAAAGGGCAGTATGAGCTCTTAAACGCTGAGCCAGTTCTCCAGCCCCCAGGATACACCGTTCTCGGAGGAAAGCAGGTAAAATGCACCCATACTACAAAACAGACGTAAATGCTACTGACAACTTTTACTGGCTTTTGTCTGTCTGTTTGTTTTTTGAAATAGGGTATAGCACTGTAGAGCCAGGCTGGTCTAACAATATGTAGGCAAAGTTGGTTTCAAACATGTGGCAATCCTCCTGCCCCTGCTTCATGAATGCTGGGATTATAATGCACCACCATTCCTCGATAAACTCTTCTAAAATCGTATTTTTTAGAAATGAAGCTTAAAGAGTTTCAGGGTGAAATCAAACAAACAAAAACAGGAAAAAAATGTTTTTTTTCCCAAAAAAATTTTGAAATGGGAAGAATCTAAAAAAGATTAGCTTAATGTACATTTGTTATCTTGAGTTTGGAAAAGCATTTTAATTTCTTAATTTGAAAGTCTGACACTTCACACATGTAGTCACTACACATAGTGATACAACAGCTTCTGGAAACTCCTGTTGAACTGTTACTAATAAGTAGATGAAAAGTCAGAATTTATACTTATTAAAAACTAGTAAGTTTAGCCGGGCGGTGGTGGCGCACGCCTTTAATCCCAGCACTCGGGAGGCAGAGCCAGGCAGATCTCTGTGAGTTCGAGGCCAGCCTGGGCTACCAAGTGAGTTCCAGGAAAAGGCGCAAAGCTACACAGAGAAACCCTGTCTCGGGGAAAAAAAAAAAAAAAAAAAAAAAAAAAAAAAAAAAAAAAAAAACTAGTAAGTTTAAATTTTTAAGGTTTAGTTTTACTTTATGTGTATAGGTATTTGGCCTACATCTATATCTGTGCACCATGTATGTGCAGTGTCCACAGAGGCCACAAGAGGACATGAGAGCCTCTGGAACTGGAGTTACTGATGGTTGTGAGGCACCATGTGGGTGCTGGGAACTGAACCCAGGTCCACTAGAAGAGGACAAGTACTATAAACCACTGAGTCATCTCTCCATGCCCTAAAACGAACTCTTTAATCCTTTCACTGCTTAAACTAGGGCTTCCAGAATATTTTTATTATAATATTCATGACAATTATTCATGAATATCACAGTATTCATAATAAACACCCTCAGTGACTACCTATTGTAAACCCAAAGATTATTCAAAATGACAAAATTACCCTAAGTATATCCTTAACTTCCTTATAGACTGCCTGGAAAGTAGTTAACACAGCAAGCCTCACAGGGCTCTCTCTACAAAGATCCACTTTGTAAGTTTGGCTCTTGGCCAGTATCTATGAACCTGGATTTCACAGAAACCTACTCCCCCAAAAGATAAGGATGGCTCACCATGTCTAAGCTATTTATGCAAACAAAATAGTTTATGCAAAATATCTGCTTCTTGTCTGGACATAGAGAATTCTGGAACACTATAGGTAGTGAATTGATTCCTGGATGCCAACTAGTTTGACATATTTATTTCACATTGCACAGATATATCCAAACAGCATCTTAATTGTTTCTAAAGCCTCAGTGTCAAGTTTCTAACTCGAGCAGTTAACACACTGATATAGCCTGTTTCTGGGAGTCAAACAGGTCCCAAACAAGGCACTGAGGCTCTCGAAGACTGTGACTAAGGTGCCTTACTCCTTTGCAAGCATGCCTTGAGCCCTTGCTGAGTACAATTGCACACTGAGTCCTATGAGTCCTGCTAGAAAAAAACTGGGGTGTGGTGATATATTGTGTACCCCAATACATTGTGCACCCTAATAAAGCTTACCTGAGAATCAGAGGAAAAAGCCAGCCACTATATTAAACATAGAAGTCAGGTAGTAGTAGCACATGCCTTTAATTCTAGCATTCGGGAGGTAGAGATCCATCCGGACCTGTAAGTTCAAGGCCACACAGGGAACAGAGCCAGGCATGGTGGCACATGCCTTTAATTCCAACGTTAGTTAACCATAAAGGTCTGGAGTCCTGTACAGACAGACAGGAAGTGACAGAGTTGGGCAGAAAGAGGAAGTGATGTAGCTGGACAGAGAAAGGGAGTAAGATGGCAGGGACAGAAAGGCATATAGGTGTGGGTAAATAGGAAGTAGGTCTCTCTGGAGGCTGAGGAGTTGGTAAGGTGAGGTTGGCTGTGGCTTGTCCTATTCCTCTGATCTCTCAGTTTTCACCCCAATATCTGGCTCCGGGTTTTTTATTAATAAGACTGTTTAGCAATTCGTCCTACACTGGGGCTGACTTTGTGTACCCTCAAATGTACTATTAGAGCATTCCTGTCACTTCAGAGTAATCCTTCCAAAACATAATGATTCTCTTTCTAGATTTCTGACTCTTGATGTACAAGTTCCTGTCACTGAAATCATAGTTCCGATTCTTACCTTGACTAGGAAGCTCCAAATGCTGTTAGCTCCTTCTCACAGTCTCTTACCTATAAAGTCCCATGCTGGAAGTTACTCCCTCACAGTCTCCATGACAGCACAGTATTTGGTCTTCCCTTCTTGGTACATACCACTATAAGCCAAATAGCATCCAGTACCCTAATCTTAGAATTGCTGATTTACCCAGTGATTTCAGTGACTTTTCTGTCATAATCATCTTACAGCATAAAATTTCAGAACACTACTTTAAGCAAATCTGCTACTCCAAATAGTCAGTATCTTCCTAATTCCAAAACTACAGCCCACAGTCCTTCACACAGCATCCAAGCCCTTCATCTCCTCCTCTCCATAGAGAGTGAGGGGGGACAGCATTTACTAAGCAGCTAATTACTACTTTCTCCTCAGGAACTGAAGCAGCACTTTATTTCCCTCATTCAGTACCTCAGCCCCCATCAAGACACAACTTTATCCCTCGTACTCCATTAGAAATGAAGTTAGCAGTAACAATGCCTCAGTCCTTTGGTGTCTCCTTCACATTACAAAAGTAACTGTATTTGCACACTCACATGGTTTCTACTCTCCTGCCAAAGCCAAAGTCTCCCTTTTAATACTGGACTTCTTTCTAGACAGAGTCTCATGAAGTAGCACTGGCTGGCCTGGAACTTGCTATGTACTTTCAGGCTGGCTTGGAACTCAGAGCTCCAACTGCCTCTGCCTCTCAAGTGCTGAGATTAAAGGCATGCACCACCACACCTGACCTCATCTCCTAGCAAACCCTGTTCCAGCAATTGTCTCTTCCTCCCACATCATATACACCTCCCTCCTCACTGAGTTATAAAACCTGTCATTCTTCCCAGTTTACAAATGTGCTGTGCTTTCTCAGTCCAGAAAAATGAAATAAAAATATGCCTTTCTGACCACAACACACCTTTCTGACTGTTACCTTATTTCTTTATTTTTTAAGAGACACGCTCTCACAGCCCAGACTGGCCTCAAACTCACTAATATTTATAATCTTCCTGCCTCCACCTTTCAAGTGCAGGAATTACATTCCAAGGATGGAACCCAGGGCTTCCCAAGCTAAGCAAGGACCTACCAACTGAGCTATATCCCCAGGCCCCGCACCCTCATCGTGCCTTGGCTTTGTGATTAAGTATCTGAGCAGAGCAACCCACACTACTTCCACCCACATCCTCCTTCTCAGCTTGCCCACACTTTAACTCCTACTGTTACAGGTAAAAACTACTCTCCCAAAGTTCTAACCGCAATCTGCACTCCAAAACTCACCACGTGAATTCCATCCTTACTTTTGTAACCTCTTGTGTAGACTTGGCTAAGAGACCACTCCTTGCTTCCCGATCCTATTTTCTTCTCTGGTTTCTGGCTTTGTTAACTGTGCTGCCATCATTCCTGAGTCTCATTTTAACTTGTTTTTCTTTGAAGTATCCTACTCTGCTATCAGCTGACACATCAGTGCTCCCCAGTGTTCCATCACTGACCTCTCACGGTTCAGTCTGTGTGGGGTGGCAGTACCTGGCCTTACGTGTTTGGTTGGTCCTGTTACCTTTCTCAGAGCTTTCTTGAAAGCCATGAGACTGCTCAGACCACAAGGAAGAGAAGCTCAGAAGCACAGAGGAGTTACAGTGCCTAGTAGCCAATCTTCAACCTAAGAGGGAAAGAATGGGTGAACAAGGGCCCTGTTTGAATCATTCAGTGGGATAAGGAGGGGACATATTTTGCCAGGTCCTCAGAGGATCCACAGTGAGCCCCATTTATCCACAATAAAAAGTATCCTAACACTTCCTTTATTAGCTTTTTTTCCTCTCTGTATCTTCCTCTTCCCAAAATAAGCTCTCAGACCAGAGCTTCCACAGAAGACCTTGGGCTTTGTTTTAGGGAAAGTAAAACAGGCCTGGACAACTTCAGCTAAAACAGGAATGGCCAAGTACAGATTCTGGAGCAGACAAGTACCTACTTACTACCAATGTACTTGTTCCAAAGCCAGACAAAAACCAGTCATAGAGTAAGAAGAGGTCTGCCTTTCCATTTGTTGTTAGTTCAAAAATTATAAGCAAAATGCCAGAAGACAACATTTCAAACAGTAAAACTCTATTGTGGATTAGTATGAGGTACTAAATATGGCAAAATTATATTATCACCTAATTTGAAAGACAGATGGCAGAAAGAAGTGATAAACATCAAAGATACATTATCAGGACCACAAAACTACATTGGCAACACCCAACTGCCTTACACTGCCCAGGAGTAGTGAAGTAAAAAGGGTCTATAGAGAAGGGTTTTCTCCTCCTATGCCATCCTTTTCTACCCTGTCTCAGGAGGTGGGCCGGCTTTCACTTATTTTGCCTACAGACATGCTGAAACAAGCACTGTTCTTCTTTACAATCATCTGAGTTCATAATTCGGCTTCAAACACCAACACAATGGAAGTTCATTCAAACTAATGTATTTCTGAGTTTGCTACTGAATACCTATTCCGAAATACCAAACAGCCTAACACAGCTATGTACTGCACATGAATAGGGGAAAAAAAAATCACCACATAAAATTACCTCCAGAGATTTGTGAAGTATCTTTCCCAAGACCAAGTATATCTTACCTAAAGAGAACAGGGTATGGGTCATCCCTCTCTGGAGGTCCAGTAATTCGTGCTATTGTTGGGAAAGACTTAACAGGCGGCTGGATCATTGTATGAGGTGCAGTTTCCATTAAATGAAAAACCTCCTCTAAGAGACTAATAAGCTTTTCTATTTCGCCTTCACTTATATTTGAGGATTCCAAAAGGTCCATGTCCACAGAGGCTTCCACTTCATTCTCATAATCTGGGTGTGTTCGCTCGAGTCCAGCATCTGGGTCATGATCAGGTTCACTGTGGTTGGGAACAGGCGAAGTCTTCTCTGCTATATGGTCACCGAGTCTTCGGATCTCTGACAAGATCTCATAGAAATGGCATTTCTGAAGAACAGCTGAGCCAGCGGTGACAACCCTCACAGTCTGGTCCAGGAGGATGAGCTCCAGCAGTTTTTGATAGCCACTTTTCTCACTCTGGGTGCCTCTTAAAAAGGCCTCCATCCCCTCTGTCATGCTAACGACACTGTCCAAAGCTTTAAAAGCATTTAACTTAAGGGAAGATGAGACATGGTCAGCAAACAGGAGATCAAACAGTGCACTGATCACTCCTGCCTGCAGCAACTCTGTGACTCCCGGAGCCCCACACTCTGCTAACGAAGACACCAGCTTGGTCCCGGCTTTGAGCTGTCGGACATTTAAGGCTATGGGCTGGCGAAAGGCTACTTGTAAATTTAAAGCTTGCATTGTCCAGTCTACCAACTGACCAAGAGAGTCTTGTTTTATGTTTTTCAACTGCAAATAGCTTAATCCTTTTATAATCAAACTTGGAATTTCCTCTAGAGCCGTCACCCATTTTGCGCCCCTGTCTTCACGATACAGATCGAGCAGTTCAGTTAACTTCACTGAGGCTTCTATTGCCCCTGAATTTTCTTTATCTGGACCCTGATCCTTCATTCTGCTGACTTCAATTTCAAAAGTAGTCTTATATGGGCAGCTGAAATACAAGAGTGGCACTAGTTCCCTGTCATACGGGTCATATGTCATGGGAGGAACAGACGCCAGGTCTTCTGGAGTGTACTCAACATCAAAGTTTGGATACTTAAAAGTTTCACGTTCCAAGTCGGCAATTCCATCTTCATCACTCGAGATCTGCTCATAACCATCATCCCCTAAAAAAAAGTTTAAAGAGCATCTCAGTACTCCATCCCTCTTTTTTTTTGGGGGGGGGGGGTTCAAGACAGGGTTCTCTGTGTAGCTTTGTGCCTTTCCTGGAACTCACTCTGTAGCCCAGGCTGGCCTCGAATTCACAGAGATCCGACTGGCTCTGCCTCCCGAGTGCTGGGATTAAAGGCATGCGCCACCACTGCCCGGCCCATCCCTCTTTCTTACTGTAGCATGAACACTGATTGATATAAGTTTAAAGAGGATTTAAGTACTACATCATTCTTATTTACTGCATAAACTCTGATTGATCAATAACCTTTTTTATTGTAAACCAAGCATTCTGAAAGACTGATTTCCTCAAAAAAGAAAAAAAAATCAACTTTTGCTCCCACTCATAACAAGAAATTGACAACATTTATAATCTGTAATAGGATAATTATTGATAAGCTTATTAACAAATTCTTCCATTATGCATGTTAAGCTTATAATTAATTCTGTGATGATACCTTTTCCTGACAAAAATAAAATTAGAAACTGAAAATAACAAAAACACCTCTCCTAGAAGGGAAGAAATTAAGCTTAACATTCTAAAACATTTAAATCTTTTAACGTTATTTTTAATTTTGTATGTGTCTGTGTTTGGGTATGTGCACATGAGTGCCCAAGGAGGCCAGAGGTGTCAGCTACCCCTGGGCTGGAGTTACAGGCAGTTCTGAACTGCCCAATGAGGGTTCTGGGAACAAACTTGGGTGCTCTGCAAGAGGAGCTCATGCTTTTAACCACTGAGCCATCTCTCCAGGCTCTTTTGAGTTTCAGAACACACTGACTGACTTAGTTCTCGGGGTTGGGGGCCTCTTGGAGAACCTGCACTCGTGCGAACTTACCCATACAGACACACAGACATATACAGACTTAAAAATAAAATAAATATTTAGCTGGGCACGGTGGCATACTCCTTTAACCCTAACACTCAGGATGCAGAGACAGGTGGAGGAGCTCTGTTTATTGGAGGGCAGCCTGGTCTACATAGTGAGTTCTATGACACCAGGGCTATATAGTGAAACCCTGTTTAAAAAATAAAAGCCCAAAAGGCTAAATTGTTTCATGCATATTTTCTTGCTGAGTGGATTTGATGGATCAAATACACTATGAAAAACAACACAAGCAAAAAGCTAAGTTTTTCCTAAATAAAGCTTTCTTTTATTATTATTTGTTGTTGTTTACTTTTATGTGTGTATGTCGAGAATGAACCCAGAGCCTCATAAATGCTCTGCAAGTGTTCTACCCCTGACCTACACCCCCCAGCCTTTTACATTTCAAACTGCTATGGGATCCAATCTCCAATCTACAAACTTCCTGACCCAGTCTCCTGAAAAACACCATCATTCCCAGCTTGAAATAAAGCCACTATCTGGTGTCGCACACCTTTAACTCCCAAGTGGGAGACAGAGACAGGTGGATCTCTGTGAGTTCAGGGCCAGCTGGTCCAGAGTAAGTTCCAGGACAGCCAAGGCTACACAGAGAAACCCTGTCTTGAAAAACCAAAACAAATAAATAAATAAAATAAAGCTTCTTTTGTTAATCACAAAATAAGAAAAGTTTTTTTCTCTGTATCAAAACAGAATTAAAGACAAAGACATAGGTAGGTCTTATTTCCTAACAATACTAGAGCCTACTTACAAAAAAGTGAAACTGGGCTGGATGGTGGTGGCACACATGCCTTTTATTTTAGCACTCGGTTGGCAGAGGCAGGCAGATCTCTGTGAGTAAGAGGCTGAGAGGACCAAGCAGACGCCATAACAGGCTGCTCAGTCTTCTCTCAGAGAAAACAGGCCTTGGCCCCTGCTTTATGAAACCAAGCAGGCAGTTTCTGAGGAAGATCCACAAACAAAGGACAATTAATCACTGGTACCCCCGACAACAGGGACAAGGGAGACAAGACGCACCAAGCCTGGGCCACTGAGCCAGCCCCCACAGTTAGTACATGCTAGGCCAGCCAGCCTCCACAGCAGCTCTAGGACAAGGCCAGGGACTTGTCCAGGCCTGCCCAAACATGGAAAATTGTACCCTGACCAGCCTCTAACTAGCCCCGGCCAATTAGAACACACTGATATGATTGCCACTTGCTTGAGCCAATCATATCTAAACTAACTGCCCTAGGACCTCCCCTTGGCTATGCTTAAAAGGAGCCCACACATTTTTCTCAAGGTCTTCGCCATCTTGCTTTTGTGTAGGATGGGCAGCCCCAGTATACTGAATAATAAATGCTCTTGCTGATTGCATACATGGATGGTGGTCTTTTGTGGGACTTTTCCAGGACCCTAACAGAGGCCAGCCTGGTCTATAGAATTAGTTCCAGGACACTCAGGGCTACAGAGAAGAAAACTTGTCTCAAAAAAATCAAAGAAAAAGTAAAAAAATGGCCCCAAAAAGAAAATGTTTCCAGAAAATTACTCCAGTCCTCGTGACATTCCTTTGCTTACCCTTAGCAACAAACGCATAAGAAAATGAGTCTCTGGGATCTGACTCTCAAAACAAGCTGAACACATTGTAAGTCAACACATTGTCCTGCCTAGGAAAACTACTGGATGAAATGTAACTATCTGCCAGTCATACATAAGAAATATAAAAACGATGACTTGGCACTCTGGGAATGGAGGAAGCTAAAAAAAAAAGTATCACTTAATAATTTAATTATGTGTATATCTTAAAAATATAGTGAGAGTGAGGGTTGTTTTAAAATTACAGAGACATTTGTGAGCTCACAAATGAGTGTAGCGATTTAGTTCACAAATGCCCCTGTAATGCTAAAACAACCCTCACTATTTTTTTTAAAGCCAAGGCAGATCGTCACTTTGTATAAACATTTAGTATTACGTGTCATTTCTTGGCAAATTAAGAATTTAAGATATTTGAGTTAACTGACCAATCCTCAAACACACATTCTCAAACACACAACATTCTCAAACACACAACATACATACATGCAAAGATAGAAAAGGAAAAAGAACATTGTAATTACAAGATGAAGGATTTTCAGAAAAAAATACTGTAGGAGGCTGATGCTCATACATCTTCTCCAGAGAACCAGAGTTCAGTTTCCAGCACACATATCAGGGGCTCACAACCACCTATAACTCAGTTAACCAATTAGCTAAATTAATAACCAATTAACTCAAATATCTCACTTTTTTTAAAAAAACTCAAACCTAATCAAAGGATTGCACCATTCAGCCACATATACTTATAACTGAGCTATACAGACAGACAAATTTCTAAAAATATCATAACATGTTGTTAAAGTATCTCTGGGCCATCTATCTTTAGAAAGTTGGCCCAGGTTATGATATATCATTGCTTACTCTAAAAATAGCCTACTTTGAGATCCTGCTTCCCTGGCTAATGCTCATGATACCAAGTAGCAGCTCATGCATAAGCCAAAGAAAACCTCTCCCCAGGGAGACTGCAGAGTCAGGCACTTTAGGCTGGTTAGTTAAAGAGGAAGAAACCTCATCTGCTATCATGTCTTATGGCCAAATCACACCACTGACAGGGCTCCTCCAGCTCATTTACCGCTACTGTAAACTCCACAATACTCAAAGCTACATGAAGTCAAGTCTAGTACTTAAAATCAAAGTCCTAGCTAAAATCCCACCTTCACCTTCTTCATCCTCTTCACCTTCTTCCTCTTCCTCTTCCTCCTCATCATCAGGGATACTGTCTACTGTATGGCAGTCATCCTCATCTTCATCCTCTTCTTCCTCTACATCCACATCATCTTCATCATCCTCTCCTTCTTCTTGCTGTTCCTCTTCTACTTCCCCTTCATCAGAATACTGACCCTCCTGGGGGACGGAATTCCGATCTGGAGAAATGGGCTCAAAGTAGTCCTCTCTATGGGGAACATCCTCTTCTTTGTCACCAGACACTGAAAAAATGAGATTGAAAGCAGATTATTCAGTGGTTTAAACTCACGAGCCAGCAGGACTGGAGCCTACAACCACACAGTGCATGTTGGATGTTTTAGCTCACAAATGCCCTTTTTAAAGGATGGTAGATTATTAACCTGAGACTGCTATGGTGACATATGCTTCTAATCCTAGCACTTGGGAAAGGAGTTCAAGGACAGTCTAAGTTCCATGGCAAATCTGAGACCACCCTAGACTTTGGGAAGCCCTCACTCAAAATAAAAACAAGTCCCACTCAGAGTTTACATTATATAATTTCATTTACTGACAATTAATAAAGTACACTATTTTATAGTGCTTTATGCTCTGCAGTATACATTAAATCCTTTTCTTTTTAGTTTTTAAATTAGTAAGCTGGTTTGTTTGGTTTTTTTTTTAACCAATACACACTACTTATTTCTAACTGCTATATACTACCATGTTACATCAATACTCTATTTTCAAAGCACTGTGGGTATAACTTCAAATTAACTTTTTTTTTAAAACAAATTTCTCTGCCAATAGGAAAACCACAGAGTACCTGACAGGATAAGGGAGTTTGGGGAGAAGAGGCCAATCATCAAGACTTGATACCTCATGTTTTTCTTTAATTAATAAGCACCACTTTGAGCTGGGCATGGTGATGCACACCTTTAATCCCAAAACTCGGGAGGCACAGACAGGTGGATCTCCGAGTTCAAGGCCAGCCTAGTCTATAAAGTAAGTTCCTAGACAGCCAGGGCTATAGAGAGAAACCGTGTCTCAAAAACCTTGAACAAAACGAAACAGAAGCACCACACATCACTAGTGGGTGGGGAGGAGAACCTAGCAGAGGTTTGACACCTGGCAACGACATAGGATCATCCTCCTCATCATCAGGTGGAGGAGGGCCTGGAGGAGTTCTTGGTCCGCGCGGTTGGGGTCTTGGAGGACTTCCATTAAATTGATCTTCTTTCTCTCCATCAGCTATATATGGGAAACACAATGTTGAAACTATTAAAGTATATTGATATGAATTTATGAAAACAAATTTTTATCATCTGAACTTATCCTCAGAACTGAACAATAATATAAACTTTTCCTGCATGGAGACGTCATAAAAATTTTGCTAACTGATCTAGAAACCTAGAATTTTTAACTGCCCGCACACCAAAATACAATATAATATAGGGCAACACCCTAGAAATATGCAGACTTATTTTCAAATAGGATAGTATTGCTGTGGGATGTCTTTCTGTATGCTGTGAATATGTGTTGCTATGACTACAGATAAAGAAGCTGCTCTGGCCCATGGCCAGTCAGGTTATAGCCAGGCAGGAAATCCAGGAGAGAGACAGAAAGAAAAAAAGCAAGGGAAACACCAGGCCTGTCCATCAAGTAACAACATGCCAGCAGACCTGTAAGCCACGGAACACCAGGCAAAACATAGATGAATAGAAATGGGTTAATTTAAGATATAAGAGCTAGCTAGCAAGAGGCCTGCCGTTTGTAAATAGTATTAAGCCTCTGAGGGATTATAAGTGGGTGAGGGATCTCTGGTCCGGGCAGGACAGGACAAACCTTCCGAATACATAGTATAGACCAATGTTCTACTTTAACAACTGAAAATTAGAAATGACTCAGATGTCTTTCAATGGATGTAAGGTTAAAAAAAGACTGTGATATGGATTGGGGGTGAAATTCAGTGACAAAGCATGTGCTCAGCTAGCACAAAGTCCTGGGTTTGAATCCTAGCACCTCAAAAAAATTCGGTAAATGTAATACACACTCACACACGTAAGGCTCTGATAAAGAGAAAATGTAAAGCATATTCTTTTCTCACAAAGAACTTACAATCTGTTAAAAAAAATAAAAATGCTTTACCAGTACAAAAAAATAAAGTGTCAAAAAAGAGAGAGAAAAAAAATTCATTCAAATAAATTTGAAATCCATTCCTAAAAATATACATAAAGATTCCAGGAATACATATCAAACTTCCTAACTATTCTCCAATTCTTTTAGAGATAACTTTCTTAAATAAAGAAAAATTAATAAACAAACTAGGCACTGTGAAGCCTACCTATAATCACAGAGATCAAAACCAGGAGGCAGAAAGACAGTAAGCTAGAGGCCAGGCTGGGCTACAGATTGAGGCTCTGCCTCAATAATAACACACACACATACATACATACATACATACGTACATACACATACACGGGGGGGGGGGGGGGGGGGGGGGGGGGGGCGGGGGAGGACACAGACATGATTAACTACTGGGAATGCATTACTTTCAATGGGGCCAATGAGGGAGGGAGGCTTTTCTTGCTATAATAGAACATAACAGCCTCACTAGGGAAAGCAAATCAAACTTCTCACCGTGCTTTGTATTCCTTTTCAAAGTCGACTGTGGCTGCGGAGGAGGTGGAGGTGGAGGAGGAGGTGGTGGAGAGTCTCTGTCATGGCTTATCACTCTATCTACTGATCCATAGATTGCCAGGGTCAGACAGTTGTACCAGCCTCTTAGCACCAGACCATCAGTATTTACCTGGTTTTTAGGGATGGTGAAAGATCTCAAATTAATGTTTTAATAGGCCAAAAGCAAAGTGATATTAAATTAGTTTATGGTTCAGCTAAAGTCTTTAAAGTACTGCTAAATAACTGGAGGTTTGGCTCAGCAGTTATAAGTGTTTACAACATTTCCAGAAGACCTTAGTGGAGTTACCACCACCCACATTAGGGGGCTCACAAGTACCAGTAACTCTAGCTTCTGGGGTGGGGTGTCTGGTGCCCCCTTCTGGTCACCACAGGCACTGCACTTAAGCTTTAAGAACACATACCCATACACTGATACACACATATACACAGAATTAAAAATAATAAAATCTTTTTAAAAAAAGAAATAAGAGGCTGGAGAGATGGTTCAGCAGTTAAGATTGGGATCCTATTCCCAGGACACAAGTCATCTCACAACCATCTGTAACTCCAGTTCCGGGGAATCTGATGCCTTCTTCTGGCTTTCATGGACACTACATGCATGTGGTACACAGACATACATGCAGGCAAAACACCCAGTTGCATAAAAACAATTTTTTGTTGTTGTTGTTTTTAAAAGACAGGATTTCCTTGTGTAGCCCTGGCTATCCTGGAACTAGCTCTGTAGACTAGGCTAGTCTTGAACTCACAGAGATCCGCCTGCCTCTGCCTCAAGTGCTGGGATTAAAGGTGTGTGCCACTACTACCTGGCAAACTTATCTTTCTTAAAAAAAATTTTTTTCTTCCCAAAAGACCAAAGACTACCCATATCATTAGTCTTCAGTATTTCCTTATAAACTGAATAAACATAAAAAGTTGCACTTTTTCAGATCATAATCACTAGCTCCGCACATTAACTGTAAGGGTGGTCACAATCATCACTCCCTTAACAAAAAAGCGAGTGTGTGAACAACAGCCCGCACTGCAGCCAGGCACGGCAGTGTATGCCGGCTATCCCAGTGCTTGGGAGAGGTTGGGGCAGAAGGGCAGCAGGCTAACAGGGACTGCAGTGACCCTGCCTCAAACAGACATAAAAAGTGATGAGGGTTGAATGCAAGTAATGGATGCCAATTATGAAAGACACCGTAAAGCTAAATGTTCTTTTGTTTTTTGGGGGTTTTTTTGTTTGTTCTAATTCTGTCATGGATTTTTGTTTGTTTTGGTGGTGGATTAGTACACAAAACATATTTAATACTGAAAGTATAAACTTTAACGAGAAGCTTCGCAGCTCCTGTTCTAACTGTAGAAGTTCACTGGGATGGACATACAGACTCGAGTCTGTTCAATTTGGATGTGTGATGTTTTGTTTTGATTCATTTCCTTTTGTGCGTGTGTGTGTGTGTGTGTGTGTGTGTGTGTGTGTGTGTGTGTGTGTGTTTTGTTTTCGGGGGGTTTTACTTTGTTTTGTTTTTTTTTCTTTTCCCGGTTTGTTGAAACAGAAATTTCTCTGTGTAGCCCTGGCTGTCCTGGAACTCACGTTGTAGACCAGGCTGGCCTCAAACTCACAGAGATCTGCCTGCCTCTACCTCTTGAATGCTGGGGCTGAAGGTGTGTACCACAACCTGTCCCAGAACCCAAAGCCCTTGACTTCTCGGGTCTCTCCGCAGTCCACCTTCCTGTGAAGACCAGGTGTCATGGGTCACCGAAGCCCTCTCTGGAGGCACTATAGGAGGAGCGCAATCACGAATCTCCCGGGCAGACTCTCCAGGGAACCTGGAGAAAAGCTCCAAGACTAGACCCAGGGACTGACTATGAACTCTAAGCAGATATCCCACTGCAAAGCTGGGTGTGGTGCACACCTGTAATCCCAGACAGGCAGGAGGACCGGAACTGAAAGGTCAGCGATGGCAATGTAGTAATCCTGAGGTTATCCTGGGCTGCATGAGACCGTGTCTTAAAAAAATAAAAACTGGGCTAGAAAAACAGCTCAATGTTTAGCATTTGCTAAACCCAAGATTAGATCCCAGTACCCACAGAGTGATGCACAAACACCTGTAACTTCAGCTCCAGAGGATCCAGCACCCTCTTCTGACCTCCACTGCTACCAGCACATTCATGAGCAGCACGCATACACACAGATACACACATACAACACAGACACACAAACACACACAAACAAAATAATAACATTTTTTTCATTTTAAAGATATTTAAATTTACTTTAATTAGTGAGTCTTCTTGTATCTGTGCACGAGTGCAGTGCTCATGTAGGTCAGAGGCAACAGGTTGATCTCTTGGAGCTGGAGTTATGGGGGGCTGTGAGCCACCTGACATGGGTGCTGGGAACTGAACTCATGTCCTCTACAAAAGCAGTACACATTCTTAATCACTGAGCCAGCTCTTCAACACCCAAAATAAAAATACATTCTTAAAAATAAAAATAAACAAAAAGCAAAAGAGGAATCCTACTGGAAGGAAGATAAACAGATGAAAGTGAATTTGTATAAACAGGATGCAAAGGACTAAATACATATACCTCAGAGTAAATTCTCAAGCTAAGTGGTTGCACATTATTTCTGTATTTCAGATCTTCTATTATATGAGTCTAGAATGACATTTGGTACATAAAGAAATAAAACAATTATTGATGTGAAAGAATATGAAAAGTATATTTCTAAAAAAAAAAAAACTTTTAAAATAAAGAGTCTAGACAGATGGTGCAGAAGAGCAAGAACTCTTCTTGCAGAGGACCTGAGTTCGATTCCCAGCACCCACATCAGGCAGCTCACAACTGCCTGTGAGTTTAGCTCCAGGGGGATCTAGGGACACACACATACACATACCCACATACAGATACATATGAGTAATTTTTTAAAAATAAACCTCTTAAAAAAAAAAAAAACAAAAAACCTTTAACAGAACACAGTAGTATCCAGTAATAATCTACTGCCCTGAACACTATGAACTTGTCTACCCAAATAAAAGAGAAGATTAAATGCTGATCTCTTCCAGATTCAGGACTAAAACCATAGAAAAGAGATCTCAAAGCTCTTTATCTTTAGACTTGTTTATTTTGTCTGCATGGGTATTTTGTCTGTGTGGATGCATGTGCACCACACGTGTCTGCATGGGTGTTTTGTCTGTGTGGATGCATGTGCACCACAAGTGTGCCTGGTGTCAATGGAGCTCAGAAGGTGTCAGGTCCTTTGGAACTGGAATTATAGATGGCTATGCCCCATCACATGCTTGGAACCAAGCCCAGGTCAGTCCTCTATGAGACCAACAAGTGCTCTTAACCTTGGAGCCATCTCTGCAGCCCCAGTACTTTATTTCATATGTAGCATAAAATTGTGCAAGCTCTTTAGACAGAGAACAATGGCATTTTAAAACAGCTTTTAACTGCAAGATGCAGACAAGAGGTAACATCTTGGAATACTGGTCCAGTTCTGTCTTACTGACTTACTTAAAACTGAACAGAAATAAGAAAAGAAGAAACAAGGTAAAAAAGTAACATCTATAATTACCTTTGAGTTAGGTCTAAAGATGATAGAAGTATTCTCATCATATTCCAGGCTGTGAAAAGGGGTAAGAATAAACATAAAGGCTCAAATACTAATTTTACAAATTACGAAGTTTTGGCTGACGAGATGACTTATCGGGTAACAGTACTTTATTAGTCTGATGACCTGAGTTCAATCCCTGGAACCTACATAAAGGTGGAAGGGGAAAACCAACTCCACAAAGCTGTGCTCTGACCCTCATCATGCCATGTACATGTAAAACTAATAAAGATGGTGCTGTGGAAAGTCTCTGTGGCCCTGTCCTGGGGTCTCAGCCCTAGACAGGCCAGGCTGTGTTAAGAGTGCTGAAGGGTAGTTGCTGAAGGGGCTGGACCTGGGGTTGAACCTTGGACGCTCCCAGACACAGACTGGGCCCACAGCAGATGTGCTACAGTGACCTATGTTTATTATTTCCTGTAATATTTAAGAACTGCTTAAAAGAACACAATAACGCACATTACTGAAACGGCTAATGAATTTCTTTCTCTCTCAAGAATGGCAGGGGCTTCTGTTGTTCTTACATGCAAGAACTAGAGTAGACAATTTCCTGTGGTCTATACACTGGGTATTACAAAGGCATTAGAAATAATCTGGCAGCCTTGTCTACCACACGTCAGGCGCTTTATGAAGTGTTGGTCTGTTGGGAGAACTTGTACATTTTTTTAATAACTCAAAATCGTAAGGAAACCAGTGTTTAACTTTATATTGAGGTGCCCAAGTTGGAATGAAAGTGGTATTAAAAACAAAAATAGCCGGGCGGTGGTGGCGCACGCCTTTAATCCCAGCACTCGGGAGGCAGAGCCAGGCGGATCTCTGTGAGTTCGAGGCCAGCCTGGGCTACCAAGTGAGTTCCAGGAAAGGCGCAAAGCTACACAGAGAAACCCTGTCTCGAAAAACCAAAAAAAATAAATAAATAAATAAATAAATAAATAAATAAATAAATAAATAAATACTTTAAAAAGTTTTTCTACTTTCAAATATTTCTATGTAGTCAAATATTAAATATTTCCAAGCAACAAAAGACTGATGTAATTGGTGTGTGTTAAGCACACACATTAAGATCTTAAAAGCACCTCCACATAAATCTAATATAGACAGACAGAGAAACACATTATACTCCAACAACAAAACAATATACACTATGTGGCTGAGGATGTCATTGTGATAAGAGTGCTTGCCTGGCATGCACAAAGCCCTAAATTCAATCCCTAGCACTGCTCCCCAAAAAGTACACTGGCACCAAAATTTAAGAAAATACTCACTCTATGGTTGGGACTACAGCTCAGTATAGAGCATGTGCTTAGTTGTCTAAAGGCCTGGGCTTTAAAAATATTAAATTATCAGTGTAATTTCCTAGGAAATCGAGAGATCAGGAAAGAATGAGTGAAGTCGCTTCCTAGTAGAAACGTACTTTTTCATCTTCAAGCTGTCTTTACTTTTTTTAATGTTATAATGAGTTCTTATTAAACTCATTCAATGGTTACTTAGGCATGCAGTTTTAGTGTTTACTATGTATTAAGTAATCTAAAAAGGGCCTATCTACTGCTAAGTCTCATCTGACAGTCTGGCCATGAAGCAAGCTGAGCAGCAGAGTGGTATAAAAGTGAGCTACCAAGTACTAGTTCTTGCTGCTAATAGAATTTTTAAGAATCGAAATGTTGCCTTTTCCAGATCAGGTTAGTAAAAAATCATGTGTATAATATGTGTTTATAATAATAGTGACGTGTTTATGATGCATGCACACACAAGTAAAAAAGAAAGAAGATGGCTATTATTTCATACAATTAAGTTTTTATTTTGTTAAGATCTCTCAGGAGTTCAGCAATTCTTTCATGATGCCCACAGGGAAAATTAAATCCTGAATTCTTGTGTCTACCACCAGATACTTCCTTCTATCTATATAACAAAAGGGTTTTCTTTGCGACTCAGTAAGGTTTCCAATAAAGTTATCTAGAACATACATACCTTCCCAACCTATCAAAAACTGGAGCACTTGGTTTGCTTACATTATTGAAGAATAAGTCTAGTTGAAATGTGTGTGGAGATGTCTCCCTGGAAATCAAACAAGGACAAAACGTCAACGTCAGCATTTTTAACAATTAGTTCCTACAGTAAAACAAAAAAACCACAGGAAGTACAAAATCCTGAGCAATTCTAAGACCTGGAAAAAATACTCCTCAGATTTAAATAACAAAAAAAGCAAATGACTTGCATATTTTAACAAAATTCTATCCAGTCCTTAAGTAAGTCATATAAGTATTATTAAAATTGAACTTTAATCTTAGCACTCAGGAGGTAGAGGCAGGTGGATCTCTGTAAGTTCAAGGCCAGCCTGGTCTACAAAGCTAGTTCCAAGACAGCCAGAGCTACATATGTCCTTCCGCCTGCTACTTAAACATCTGTGTCAGGGATACAGCTGAGCTCCTGCCTAGGATGCAGAAGGCTCTGGGTCCAATCTCCAACACCACAAAACTTAAACAAAAACAATCGAAGACAATGTGACTATACCTGACTTCCACAATGTAATGACTTAAAAACCTAGATTTGCCGGGCGTTGGTGGCGTACGCCTTTAATCCCAGCACTCGGGAGGCAGAGGCAGGTAGATCTTTGTGAGTTCAAGACCAGCCTGGCCTACAGATCGAAATCCAGGAAAGGCATAAAGCTACACAGAGAAACCCTGTCTCGAAGAAAAAAAAAAAAAAAAACAAAACCTAGATTGATGTCAGATGGCACATTATAAAACTAACAGGGCCAGCAAAATGGCTCACCTGGTAAAGGCTCCTGCCACCAAGCCTAGTAACGTCAATTCAAGGCCCAGGACCCACGCAATGAAGAAAAAAACCATCTCCTGAATGTTTTCCTCCAATTTCCACACACACACCGTGGCATACACACACCCTCACATCCTCCCCCTCAATTTTTTAAAATAAATTTTAAAAAAACAAAACAAAACAAAAAACCACCTGTAATCCAAAGCCAGATTTGGTGGTATGTGCCTGTATACCCAGCACTTAGAAAGGTGAAACAGGAAGGCTGCTGCAAGTTCAAGACCAGCCTGGGCTATATAGTGAAAACCAAGTCAGTAAGTAAGGAGCAAACCAGGGGCTGGAGAGACCGACCACTCAGTCGTTAGAAGCAAGCACTGCTCCTGCAGAGGACCCAAGTGTGGATCCCAGTAACCACCTGGGCAGCCCACAACTGCAGGCAACGCTAGCTCCAGGGGCTTCAACTTCCTCTCTGGCCTCCATGGGCACCTGCGCGTGCTCGCACTCTCACTCTCTCTGCTCTCTCTCTGTCACACACATATACACGCACAGAGAGAGAGACAGAGACAGAGAGACATATCGACACAATTACAAATAAAAATGAATCTTTTAAAAAACAATCAAGCCAGGTGGTGGTGGTGCACGCCTTTAATCCCAGCACTTGGGAGGCAGAGGTAGGAGGATCTCTCTGAGTCTGAGGCCAGCCTGGTCTACAGAGCTAATTCTAGGACAGCTGAAGTTACACAAAGAAACCCTGTCTTTTTTGTTTGTTTTGGTTTTTTGTTTTGTTTTGTTTGTTTTTTGTTTTCGAGACAGGGTTTCTTTGTGTAGCTTTGCGCCTTTCCTGGAACTCCCTCTGTAGCCCAGCCTGGCCTTGAACTCAGAGATCTGCCTGGCTCTGCCTCTTGAATGCTGGGATCAAAGGCTTGCGCTACCACCGCCCAGCTCAGAAACCCTGTCTTGAAAAACTAAAATCAAAACCAAACAAAGCAATAAAATGAAATAAAATTTAGGATCCTCCTTTCAGGATAAAGATATTACAGGAATTTTGTACTGACCTATCTATTTCTGAGTTTTACAGAGAGGAAAAAAAGATATGTAAGGTATGTTGCACAAGTATCATTTGATTTCCAGCATTACTTTCCAGCTTAAGATTCCAGGCTTCAGGACATCAAGATGGCCCATCATGTAAAACTGCTGCTACGACTCTGGGACTCACATAGTGGGAGGAGAGAATTGATTACCTGAAGGTGTCCTATGATCTCCACCAATGACCCACATAGAAACATAAATAAGTACGTAATAAGAATTTGTAAAAGGATTCCCTACAGGTTTCTTCTTATGTTTGTACTATTCCATTAATCCTTAATTTTATCCTTCTACAAGTTAACCATGTGTAAATGTTTCTGGTACGTTCCTATCTGGAGTTATTACAACACAAGGAGCCATTCACCCCCAGCTAAGAAAACAGGGAGAATAGAGAAAACACAGTAAGTATCCTACCTACACACTGTAGCGAGTGCAAGAGATTTACTTTTCCTGCTCTGGTGGCCAGCCTCCAAGATGTCTCCAGTGGCCCACATGCTTCCTGTTACTCACAACCTGTAGTCCCCTCCTACACTGTACTAAAATACATAACTAGGGGAATATAGGAAAACTATAGTGTGTCACCTCTAGAAATTACAGAACACACTAAAGGAGGCTTCTTCCTAGGGACGCTCACTTGCACAGCACTCACTCCAGAGGAAGCTTTGCCATGATGTGAGGATCCATCTCCATGGAGAATATCTGCTACCAAGGAACTACAACTTGCTACCAGCATTCATGTAAGTAAGTAAGCGTCCAAGCAAACTCTCCAGCCCCACTCCCACCTGAGACAGCCATTCCAACTTCCTCTGGAGTACAAAAACACGAAGGAACTGCTTGCTTAGCCACTGGCAGCCACTGACCCTGAGAAACAATGGGAGGAAGACATATTTATTGTTTTATGTTGCTCTTTTATCTGTCTGCAGTGCCGAGGACTGAAGCCTCAAGCAGCTAGACAAGACTCTACCACTGAGCTATATTCCCTTTCCAAATTTACTGCCTAAAACGTAACTGCAGTCATTTCATTTGTTACAGAAAGATAACAGGTCTTTCAAGACAGGGTTTCTTTGTGTAGCTCTGGCTGCAGCTCTGGGATTAAAGGCGTGTACCACCACCGCCCAGCCCAATAACAGGTCGTTCTTTACCAAGAATATAATTAATAATATAATAAATATTCATTACCTCATCTTTCCCACTCTACATACATCATATATCTCCCTTTCTCAGAGAACCAGAGGAAGTACATAGGAAAACAATGAGGCTCTCCGTGTGTGTGTGTGTGTGTGTGTGTGTGTGTGTGTGTGTGTGTGTGTGTGTGTGTTGTAAAGGCTAAAGGTTAATGTCAGATGCCTTCTTCAGTTAGCTTTCCACCTTGTTTGTAAGACAGTCTCTTGGGAAGCTGGAGCTCGCCATTTCACCTAGACTGGCCAGCAAACCCCAGGAGTCCTGTGTGCTTTCTCAGTGCTAGGACTGCAGCTCACGCTATCACACACACTTCTCTTTTAACATGGGTGCTAAGGATTGAACCCAGGTCCTCACCCTTGTGCATCAAGCACTTTACCAGTGGAGTCATACTAGTCCCTCCACACCTTTTTGGGGGGGTGTGCATCACATCTGACTATCACGTAGCCCAGTCTGGCCTTCAAATTGCTATGTAGCTGAAGATTCTTTTTAATGTCTGATTCTCCCAAGAGCTAGAAATACACACGTGTCCACTATGCACAGATTAAGTTTCAGTTCAGTTTTTGTTGTGTTTTTTTCCAGACAGCGTCTTACATAGCCCTTGCTGGTCTTAAAACCTCTAATCCTCCAGGTTCTACGTGGTCAGTGCTGGATTACAGGTACTTACTCTTCCTTACTTTATACCATGCTTGGGATCAAACCCAGGGCTCCATGCATACTAGGCAGGCAGTCTACCACCTAAGCTAACTTTAGCCGTCCTAATTTTCTTTTCTGATTTTTCGAGACAGGGTTTCTCTGTGTAGCCCTGGCTGTCCTAGAACTAGCTCTGTAGACCAGGCTGTTCTTAAATTCACAGAGATCTGCCTACCTCTGCCTCCTGAGTGCTGGGATTAAAAGTGTACACTACCACCACCTATGGCTATATCTACTTCTATAAATAACCAACAATTTTTCACAATTAGGAAGAAATGAACTTTGACCCCAAATCCATTCCATAATATTCACCACGATGTAGCAGGTTGACTATTTTATATAATAGAAATGGAGTTACAAACAGTATCAATAAAATAAATCAATATATAAAAATAATCATTATTCACATTAAACAAAAATCAAAGCCCTCTTGTATATCAATTATTAAAGTTATCTAATGTCAGGAATAATGGTCTTACATTTTATTTCCCACCTAATCCAAGAAAGAGAAAGTAACACATAATCACTTGCTAATTCAACCAATGGCTTATTTGGAGCTACAAATTTATAAAAAGCCCTATGTACAAGGTCTGGGGAGTGGCTCCAAAGACAAATACCTGCTGCAGAAACATGGAGGCCTGCATTCGCACCCCAGCACCCTCATAAAAGCCAGGTATGTCTACACCCACACTAGGTGCAGGGGGTGAGAAGTGGGAGCATCCCAGGGGCTGGTTCATCATCCAGTCTAGCCAAACAGTTCAGTGGGAAGCACTGTCTTCAAAAAGAAGGTGGCGAGTGCATGAGGAAGACACCTGACACTGCCCTCTGGCTTCTGTACACAAACGCACTTGCATGTGTGCGCACAAAGTCCCACGGACGGTGTAAGCCAGGCACATAACACATGTCTATGATCTCAGCTACTCAGGAGACTGAGGTAGAATCCTACATTAAAGGTTGGCCTGGACAACTTAATGAGACTGTCTCAAAATAAATTTAAAGAAACAGGAAGTGAGGACAACACTGGAGAGTAGGTCAGTGGTCAACCCCTACAACCCCCAAAACAAAAATACACATTTTCAAATATTCAGACTAGGGGCTGGAAAGATGGTTCAGCAGTTAAGAGCACTTGTTACTCTTGCAGAGGACCCAAGTTCAATTCTCAGCAGCCACACACTGGCTCACAATCATCCATAAATCCAATTCCAGGGGATCCAACAATTCTTCTGACTTCTGCAGGAACCAGGCATTCACACAGTGCATATACATGCAGACAAAATACTCATATGTATATACATACATACACATATAGATATTAAACTAAGGCTCTTTTATCTTAAAAGGAAAAGTCACATCAAATCACTTCACCTGGGCTGGGAATGGAAGTCGATGATAGAATGTTTGCCTAGCATACACCCTGGATCTGAACCTTAGCACCTACCAAAAACATTAAAAGTAAGAAAAACGGCCGGGCAGTGGTGGCACACACCTTTAATCCCAGCACTCGGGAGGCAGAGCCAGGCAGATCTCTGTGAGTTTGAGGCCAGCCTGGGCTATAGAGTGAGATCCAGGACAGGCACCATAACTACACAGAGAAACCCTGTCCCAGATGGAGGTGCACACATTTAATCCCAGCACTCAGGAGAGAGAGACAGACAGATCTCTGTGAGTTCAAGACCAGCCTCGTCTATATAGTATATTCAAGGTAGTCAGGGCTTCTCAGTGAGACTGACTCAAAACACACACACGCTCACACCATATTAGAGTTGACTTACCCATATGCTCTGCTGTCAGGTAAGCCGCTGTGGGCTCGTACGCCTGGCGGTATAACTCGGACTTCATTGATATAAACCACACATGGAAAACGAACCACATCTATATGAGAACTTTGCTAAAAAGGAGGATGAAACATATTGTAAGTAAAACATTCTTTTTCAATTCAAAATACACTCTTTTTTATTTTTTTCTGCTTAAAATAACACCAACAATCTTAAAATCCAGAGATGAGGCTGTAACTCAGTTAAAGCACATGCTTCACATGTTCAACACCCCGGGTTGAATCCCCATCATTGAAAATAAAGTCCATGTCGGTAAATATATCATTAAATTTTATGTTAATTACAATGTTGTATAAATCACTTTCTAAAAAACAGCTGATGATGGGACTGGAGAGAGAACTCAGCAGTCGAGAATGCTTGCTGTTTTTCCAAAAGGACCTGAGTTCAGTTCCCAGAATCTACCTCCAATAGTTCACAGTTCCAGGGAATCCAATGTCCTCTTCTGAATTCCAAGAGCGCCCACATATATGCGGTACACAGAGATACACACATACACGGAGGTAACTAATATTTTTAAACAGCTGATGACTTATTGTGATGATAACGTACCTAAGTAAGTCTCTCAACTGGTATCACATAAAATTTTCTGCATTACATTTACCTTCCCACTCATGTTTTGCTTAGACCAATTTCTCAGAGTCGATTCATGACTAGATATTCCAGAAACGTTTATGAATGCCTCAGCATATGGCTATATAAAACAGACAGCCATTGATGAATGAAATGGAAAGGAAGCAGGAAGTCTGGGCCACTCTCTTAGAAGGAAGGTTCAGTCTGATATTCCTTCCACCCTTTCTTCCAATATTCTGCTGCTTTTCTAGAACAGAAATGTTATGATGAGCTACCCTGGACAGTATAGGCAATACTCTAAGGATGGCAGACAATATTGACAGAGCCTCGACCCCGACACTATAAAACTGACATGTTACTCCTAGTGATTTTCAATTCTTTCCAAGATTATTTAAAGAGAAAATCCTATCCCATGTAAGGCAAAAAAAAAAAAACACCAAAACAAAACAAAAACTTTTTTACAGTTATTTTGCACACTTGAGCTACCGCAGAGATGTCAAAGAACAACAAAGAACAACTTTAAATCAGGATAACCTTGAACTTTTCCTACCTGCCTCTATCTCCTAAGTGCTGCAATTACAGGCATGTGCCACCAGGTCTAAGGTCTAGTTTTATGTGGTAAGAGAGAGCCCAGGGCTTCATGCATGCTAGGCAAGCACTGTACCAAATACACCACATCTCCAGCCCTAAAATGTCCTACTTATAAAGAAAATCTTCTGTGTTAGCTTTAACACGCACACACAGAGCAAGACATGGTTTCTCTGTGTAGCCCTGGCTGTCCTAGAACTCGATCTGCCAGCTAGCCTCGAACTCAGATCTACCTTCCTCTGCCTCCCAAATGCTGAGATTACTTGCTTGGCCTGGCTTGCTGTTATCATTTCTATTAAAAATATACTACATATATCTGCAAATTCAAGGCTAGCCTAGTCTGCACAATGGGTTCAAGGCCAACCAGAGCTACAGAGTGAGAGGCTTTGGGAGACCAGTGAATTAGGGAGAAGAACTTTCTGGGCCAAGGGGAAGAGACTCCATCAGAGGAAAGCAAACAACTCCAAAAAACTAGGAGCACAGTTCACAGGACTAGAGGGCAAACTGGGAGAAGCAAGCAGGGCTGGGGCTGAACAGAGCACAACCAACAGGATTCGAAACACTGAGATCTCCACCCACGGCCAGAGGACAGGTCCTAGTCGGTATCTCCACCTAGGATCCTTCTCCTAATCCCCAGGGGACAGCTCCAATTGAAAGTCTTCAGATACTTCCAGCCTGGCCAGTTCACCCAAAAATGCTATCACTGGTCACAAAATGCCTAACACACTGTTGCATTTGGCTGCTTGTCCTCTCACCTAACTTTCAGCTCCACCTCATTCTCCTACTGAAAAAGTCATGTGGTCTTTCTAGAATACAAACGTGTACAAAGTCCTGCTTCTTCTTATTCCTTCAGCAAAGCCAAATTCCCAGTCTCAGAAACCTGGCCTCTTTATACTCCAAATCCAAATACTGTATGTGTGAATTTCCCTGACACTCCATGCTGGTTTCTACTTCATAACCTCGTTACACTGCTCTCTCTAATCAGACTCCCTCATATCCCTCTGCCCCAACTCTCTTTAGATGTCAACTTTCTCTAAAAAGCTAAAACAAGTTAGGACAGGTCCTCTCCTTGGTGTGCCCAAAGTCCCTTATCAAACTCATTTGTCACTCTCTCTTTTTTCCTAAGCCATTAGGGCATGTGTTTCAAGACTTACTGTAAACTCAGTATCTGGCATATTCATTTAATGAAAGGACTTTTAGTAGGTGCCTAAAAAGTTAAAACCCTGGGCTGAGAAGACACTGCAATTGAAACAATGCTTGTCTAACATGCATGGAAGTCCTAGGTCTGATCCCCAGTACCACATAAACTATCAAGAAGGACCAGGGTTTCAAACTCATCTGCTAGCCTGCTGGCTCAAAAACTAAAACAAAATCTAAGACAGGTTGAGACTGAGAACTCTGGGAAGGTTTATGATACAGATCAGATTTCAAGACCATATTTTTCCACACTTACCCATAGAAGTCACTGTCAGAATACTTCAAGCTGTCTGTCTGTCTGTAACTGCCTTCTTTCTACCCTCTCCCTGAACTTCTTCGTCTACTCCTGTCATTTAAGCTGTCCTTTGTGCATAAATGATGCATAGTTTCCAACTAAACTTTAAAGTAGTGGTTCTCAACCTGTGGGTCTAGACCCCCTTCACAGGAGTCACCTAAGATTATCGGAAAACAGGGTTATTTACATCACAATTAATAACAGTAGCAAAACTACTGTTACAAAGTAGCAACAAAAATAATTTTATGGTTAGGGGTCACCACAACATGAGGAACTGTATTAAAGGGTCTCAGTGTTAGGGAGGCTGAGGACCACTGTGTTAGAGGGTCTCAGTGTTAGGGAGACTGAGGACCACTGTGTTAGAGGGTCTCAGTGTTAGGGAGGCTGAGGACCACTGTGTTAGAGGGTCTCAGTGTTAGGGAGGCTGAGGACCACTGTGTTAGAGGGTCTCAGTGTTAGGGAGGCTGAGGACCACTGTGTTAGAGGGTCTCAGTGTTAGGGAGGCTGAGGACCACTGTGTTAGAGGGTCTCAGTGTTAGGGAGGCTGAGAACCACTGTGTTAGAGGGTCTCAGTGTTAGGGAGGCTGAGGACCACTGTGTTAGAGGGTCTCAGTGTTAGGGAGGCTGAGGACCACTGTGTTAGAGGGTCTCAGTGTTAGGGAGGCTGAGGACCACTGTGTTAGAGGGTCTCAGTGTTAGGGAGGCTGAGGACCACTGGTCTAAGGGTCTCAGTGTTAGGGAGGCTGAGGACCACTGTGTTAGAGGGTCTCAGTGTTAGGGAGGCTGAGGACCACTGTGTTAGAGGGTCTCAGTGTTAGGGAGGCTGAGGACCACTGTGTTAGAGGGCCGCAGTGTTAGGGAGACTGAGGACCACTGTGTTAGAGGGTCTCAGTGTTAGGGAGGCTGAGGACCACTGTGTTAGAGGGTCTCAGTGTTAGGGAGACTGAGGACCACTGTGTTAGAGGGTCTCAGTGTTAGGGAGGCTGAGGACCACTGTGTTAGAGGGCCGCAGTGTTAGAAAGGTTGAGAACCACTGCTCTAAAGTGAAAGCCCTTCTAGACCACCTACTCCTCTCACAGTGTATTTGAACCCAGCAAATCCACTCAGACAATATTAAAGAAATAAAAATGCATAATCTAACCCCTTTGGGGTTTCTGTAAAAAGTCAGACGCATAAATCACAAGAGTTTAGTACACAGATAATAAATAATACCACTTCAAATCACGGGATGTCCAGCTGATAGTGATGAGAGACTTTTTACCGGACACCCTTTGTACTATTTAAATTTGTACCTCATACAAGTGTTACCTAGTCTAAACACAAAAGGAATTTTTCTTTAAATAAAAGTCACCTTCATGCACATTTACTGTAACAAGCTGTTAAGTGAAAAAAGAAACCACTAGCCAGTACTAGGACTTTAATACAGGAAGACATAAGCATATGTACTGGGCAATTTGGAAAATATTAATATAAAGAAATGTTATTCAACTACAAAATATAAAGTACATACTAATTTTAATAGTTTGGGGACACAGATGAAAGAAATTAACACATCAAAATACATTAGCTAATTTACCAAATAGTCTGTGCAAATCTTAGTTTAAACAATTTTTCCAAAATACATTACATGCATACTAGAGTTTTATCTTGCTTTTGTGTGTATTTGTTTGTCTGACTGAATTTGTGTGTCATGTAGCCCTGGGTGGTCTCAACCTTTCTATGTAGCCAAATATAATTTTAAAACTCCTGATCCTAATGTCTCCACCTCCTGAGAGGCACAGGCCACCATGCCCAGTTGACTTTGCAGTTTGACTTAGTTTTGTTCTTTCATTGGAACATCATTTCCTAGTAATCAAACGCTATTGGTCTGAAAAGAGTAAACTGCACTTATAAATACAGAACTGTTTATGTGAGGAAGTAACTGTTGGCAAGACCAAGGAGATGGAGAAAAGTGTTCATGAAAGCTGGGTCTATGAAAAATCATGCTTTTCCGAACTTCTAATTTTTTGTTAAAAGCTTTTTTAGTGTGTGTGTAATGTGTGCACATAAATGCCATGTATATGGAAGTCAAAGAACAACTCTGTAGTCAGTTCTCTCTTCCACCTTCATGTAGGTTCCAAGATCGAACTCAGGTTATAAAGCTAGTCTGCAAGTAAGTGCTTTTATCCACTGAGTTATTTGCCCACTCTACTTTCTTTTTTTGTTGTTGTTTTGTTTTTCAGAGACAGGGTTTCTATGTAGCTTTGCGCCTTTCCTGGAACTCGCTTTGGAGACCAGGCCAGCCTCGAACTCACAGAGATCCGCCTGGTTCTGCCTCCCGAGTGCTGGGATTAAAGGCGTGTGCCACTGCCGCCTGGCTACCCACTCTACTTTCTAATTTCTCTATAATGAAATTTAAATGTGCAGTGCCAACAGAGGCCAGAGGAAGGCATTGGATTCCTCGGAGCTAGAGTCACAGGCAGTTGTAGGCTGCCTGATGTGGATGCTGAGAACCAAACTTCTTAGGTCCCTCTGCAAGAGCAACAAGTGTTCTTAATCACTGAGCCATCTCTATGGCCCAAAGGATTTTTTTCCCCTCCAGACAGGGTTTCTCTGTGTAACGCTGGTTGTCCTGGCACTTACTCTGTAGACCAGGCTGGCCTCAAATTCAGAGATCCGCCTGCCTCTGCCTCCCGAGGGCTGGGATTAAAGGTGTGTACAACCACCACCACCAGCTTATTTTTATTATTTGAAACTACATGTACTTATATGTGCTGAGGGGAGCATGTACAGATGACTACAGGTACCCAGAATGAACCTGGGTCCTGTGGAAGAGCAGTACACACTTTTTTAAAGGTTTATTTTAGTTGTAATCATGTGTGTTTGCACATACAAGGAGATGTTGTATTCCACAGAGCTGGAGTTACAGACAGTTCTGCACCCCCTGACATGGGAACTAGGAACCAAATTCCAGTCTTCTGTAAGAGCAGTATGTGTGCTTAGCCACTGAGCCACTTCTCCAGCCCCATTTTTAAAGCAGTAGCAATACAAAGCACAATTTAGGGTTTTCCCTTTAAATGTTTATGTATACGAGTGTTTTGCCTGCGTATACTGTCTGTGCATCACATTTGAGGCAACACACATGTGCTGGTGCCCAAAGAGGTCAGAAGGGGGCATTTCATGCCCTGGAACTGAGCTGTACTACTGTGTGAACCTGAATCCTCTGCAAGAGCAACAGATGCTCTTAACTGCTGAGCCATCTTTCCAGCCCATTCAAACAACCATTTGTAATTCATCTACAACTACCTGCACCCCTTTAAGGATTCCTGTCTAAGTTTAATCAAAGTTTAACTTCCCTACCAGATTACAAATTTCTTTAAAAGCAAAGCAACTAGTCTTATTTCATTTTGACTTGTATTGCCCTCTCCTGCATAATGTGCCCTGCATGTATTTCTTCCTACTCAGTCCCACTGCAAAACGAGACGGCACAATTTTAGAGTCATGAAAAACATATATTGGTGTATTTCTTACTCCTAATAGTTATTAGGAAAAAAGCCCTAAATGGTTGTTTGGATTGATTGATTAGCTGACTGATTATGGGCCTGTGTGCCACAGTGCTTATGTGGAAGTCAGAGGTCAACCCTCTAAAGTCAGTTCAATCCTTTGAGCAAGTGGGTCCCGGAAAGAGAACTCAAGTCCTCAGTTTGGCAGCAAGCGCCTTAACTCATGGAACCATCTCACACACCTTGCTTTGGTTGATCTCTATGTGGTTCAGGAGGCCTTGAGCTTGCAATCTCCTGGATGTTAGGAATGAAGGCACACACAGCCATGCTCCAGGATGCCATTTACCTCAATGTAGCCGTGTCAGTTCAAGAAAGTCACCTAACCTTTCACCACAGCTTTGGTGTCTACAAAATGAAAACAACTTTCAAAACTAATAGAAGATCAGAAAAAATTATTAAATAATCAAAGCACTGCTCCTGGCACAGAGTAATCAATAAACGCTCCACATATCGATTCCACCTGCTAACTAGCTTTCACTGAATCTCATTTTTTCTTCCTGATCTTGCTACTTGTTTTCTCTGAACTATTCTGAGTATGACTACCTAGTGGAGTTTACTAGTCCTATAATTTCCCTGCTCAACTACTACAGGCCTCCAACAAAGAGTCGACACTATTCTTGAATATTTAAGGAGCTCCATGGTATGGCTTTAACACTACCTCTCAGGTGTGAATTCACATAGCTACTTTGGGTATAACCTAACAGAAGATTGACTACAATAGCCATCCTTCCCCACAACTATGAAACATTTCCCATTTTACCAAGACCAGGTGAATGTGCCAAATACCTTGATGAAGTCTTCCTTGATATTCACAAAAAAGGGACCTCTCTCTAAAATCTTGTTCCCTTTATGTTCACAAAGAGGGCTAAATAAGAATCAACTGCAGTCTTCCTACATCAGATACTGATTAAGAATTTTGTTTGGGCCTGCTGGTGCTGGTGGTGGTGGTGGTGCTGGTGGTGGTGGTGGTGGTGGTGGTGGTGGTGGTGGTGGTGGTGGCGGCGGCGGTGGCGGCGGCGGAACACCTTTAACCTCAGCACTCCAGAGGCAGAGGAAAGCGGGTCTCCGTGAGTTCAAGGCCAGTCTGGTCTACAGAGAGAGTTCCAGGACAGCCAGGGCTACATAGAGAAACCTTGTCTCGAAAAACAAAACAACAGGAAAAAAAAAAAAATTAACACCATGCCTGGCAACATTTAAATCTTTCTTTAAATTTTATTGTTCTCTAATTCTATAAAGAAGTTTGTTCTGGTAACAACTACTGTTGCCATTTTGAGTTTTCTCAAGTCTAGCTGGAATAATAGTCCAATAGTCACTAAATAGTGCTGTGTGACCCACTTGAAATTTGAGAATATATATAAATTCACTGTCAGTAAAACACAATAACCCAAAGCACCAACCCTTGACTTTTAAAGGCCTATAAGCCATTCCTAAGAAAACTTATCACTAACCCATTTCATTACTTCATAGAACATTTTAAACATTTTCATTCAGATATTTATTTAAACTATTATTTTCCTAGACACTGTCCTAAACACTGAACATACAACCGAGAAGGAACATCAGACACTCTACCCTAGTCTCATGGTGCGTCATACAAGAGCACTCTATAAAAACAAAAGAAAACAGGCCTCAAAGTACGGTTCTCTAGATGATTGCGTTTGCAGTGAGACAAAGAAATATGAGGCTTGCTCATTTGCTCTTTCTCCTACCCGAATTTCTCTGTGTACTTCGTTAAAGTTCATTTTTGGCTGGCTTTTGAGAACCTTCGTTAATACGCTACATTCAGTATCTTCATTTTATAAGTATCTGAAGGCCATTCTGAGACGCTCAAGAAATTCTGTACACAAGACTACTTGACACCTCACCTTCGCCCCCTGAAAACAAGAGACTTGCTTTCTGACGACAGCCTTTATTACAATTCCTTCAATTCGGCACGTTTCGCCACTATTCTCCATGCAAAGGAGATGCTCGTAGGCATGGCATGTCCTAAAAGGTGAATTCCTTCCTAAAGTATTAAAGTGCTATGACCAATTCAGCAATAAGACTGCCGTCAGAAGAGAGAGCGAAGAGAAGGACTTGGGATCGTGGGTACTCCAGCACCCTGAAGGCATCAGAACCCAGCACTGCTGTCAAAAACCAGATGCCCAAGCTCGCGCCTGCATCCCACCTGAAGTAACCGAGAACAAGGACCCTCCTCAAGACTCAATGCTGACAGGACAAAAAAAAGCACTGCCAGCAGCGAGGCTGACTCGACCGAACACGCAGGCCCCAAAGCAAAGCCTGGAAAGGCAGGGCCGCCGCCCAGGGCCACGGGGCTCGCACCGGGCTGGGGGAGGGGGTGTGGACCAGAGGCTTCCCCAGCGCGACTGCGGGAGGACACAGCCCGGACGACCCCCGACGCCGCGCCAGGGGGACCTCAGCTGAGGGGCCGTGTCGAAATCGGGTCGCGAAGCCTTACCTCAGCGCTCGGATGTTTAAAAGTATCTAAAAATAGCAGCTCCATGGACGAGTCCACCGCCATGTTTGCCGCGGGCGGGGGACGGGGAGATGACTTCCGGGGCAGCTCTCCGACCTCCCGGGCTGAGGCTCGGGCGAGGGAAAACGGCAGCACTTCCGGTAAGCCGGCCGCCGTGGCCGCAAGCCTCGGCCTATCGCAGCGCATCTTGCTGCCTCAAATCGCAGGCCCCGCCTTCTCCAGCGCGGCGCAGGGCGCCCTGTGGGAGCCCGAGGGGCCGAGAAAAGAGGGGCGGGGACTATGGCGTCCGCGGCGGTCCAAATCCGGACGTTCACTCCCGCTGCCGAGCCGCGACGCTGCGAGGGAGGCATCATTTCCAAGCAAAAATACTCAAATGAACGAATCTGAAAAGACAGTGTTTTAGGAATTCAAGGCCAGCCTTGACTGTATTGTGAGTTGGAGGTCAGCTTGGGCTACTGTCAAAAAATCGAGAAAAAAGGGAAAAAAAAAGTCTCAGTAAACGAAAGGAATAGTTTCTCATTTATAAGTTGTAAAAAATGATGAATGATTCCTAGCCCACCGGCTGATTATGCAGATTAATTCTGTGATGACGCTCAAAAAAGTATCTAAGTGAAATGTCACAAAGAGTACAAAAGAGAGGTGGAGTCAAAGTCCGTCTCAGGCTGACATGAGGTCTGCCAATTCTAGCACTCCAAGGACGAAGGAGGAGTTTGAGCTTGAGGTCAGCCTGAACAACTCAGTGAGACCCTGCCTCAAAATAAAATGTTTGTTTCAATTTCGTGAATAGTCTCTCTGTCAAATGTTGGAGACTTGAAACTATGCATAGTCCTAGGGAGAGTGATGGGGAGGAGTTTCCCTCAATTCTAGAACTCTTAGGAACATAAAGATGCAAAGTTGTAGCAAGCAAGCAAAAGCAGGAACAGGCGGTGGGAGAGAGTGAGATGGATCAGCTCAGAGTGTCTGGGCTATCTCCCTCTCACTGGTTCATGTAACTGCCTGCCTGTCTGTCTGTCCTCTGATGAGCAGACTTGAAATGTCTCCCTTCTCCTGGATGTTCGCCAGGACTGCTTTCAACTAGAGACTGTCTATTCATTTTTTAGGTTTGTTCACGGTCTTGTATTTGATCTCATAACCTTCTCTTAGGACATCTTCTTCTTTTTGAACAAGTTTCACATTGAAGGCTGGAACCAGGGCTTTACAATACCCTGGCAGGCTGCCTAAACAAGAGACAGGACTCAAGCTGCCTGTGGGAGTGCTTTCTCCCACCTCCCTTGCTCATGTCTTCCACCTAACACGAGTGTACAGGAAAGGACCAAGTAAAAGTACATATACTTCTCCCTCACCTAGAAAAAAAAAGTCTGCATATATGCCCAAAGAAATGCCTACAGATTCAAAAATGTCCGCACACACTTTGGTTTTCTCCAGCTCTGGGTATCAGAACCTTGGACCTTGAGCAGGTTAGGCAACTACTCCACAGGGAACTAGAGCCCTAACCCACAATTTTTTAAAAACTAAATAGCCCAAGCTGATGTAAAAATCGCAACCCTCCTTCCTTCACCTCCCAATTCTGGGACTACAGAGATGTGCCATCCCAGCTGCCTTGTTTTAAAGCAGTTTTACAATAAATTACACAGGCGGTATAGAGACATCACATATTTTTTTCCTTTCCCCACTCAGCGGCCCCTTCTTTTAACAATCTGTATTAACATTGTACATGTATTACAACTGATCAGCCAATATTGATACATTGTTACTACTTAGTGTTACACAGTTTTGGTAAATTCATAATATATCCATTGATATAATCACTTATAGAATAATTTGGAACTCTTCTTAGTTATGGGCTAATTGAAGATATAAGAGCTAACTAGCAAAAAGCTTGAGCCATGGCCATGCAGTTTTAATTAATACAAGTCTCCGTGTGTTTACTTGGGGAACGTGAGTGGGAAAGATTTGTCCCAAACACTGGCAGGCTAGGACACAGGAAATCTTCTGACTACAAATGGCGCCAAAACATGGGGCAAGAGTTTCCACCTAAAACATGAGAAAGCTTAAAAAAAAAAAAAAAATTCTAAAACGGAGCTAAAAACAGCTGCCTAGTTATGTCTCTCAGGCCAGCTACGGCCTGTGGGCTTGAGCAGGTTTGTGGCGTTCAGGCTTGACCTGCAGCATGGCAGGTTCCCACCAAGGTACACAGAGGCATCTCCAAGCCGCAAATTATGCTGTATGGTGGATTTAGCCTTTGCTAGCACAGACAAACAAAAAAGATTTCTGGGCTACATGCTGCTTTGATAGAAGCACAGACCCACTGCCTCCCAGATTCAGCGGACAGCGTAGCTCCCAGAGCTGTCAGTGAATTATTTCCACTATATTGAAAAGCTGAGATGGGCGGAGTCAGCAGCCAAGGCTGCTGCTTCAGTACTAACCACTGCAGTTTAAAGCAATAGATTCACAATAAGGCAGAGTCAGATGAGATAATCCCTAAACAGTTTACAGTGTGTAAAAATGTACGTAGAAAAAAAATAGAAAAAAAAATAAAAATAAAAAAATGTACGTAGAATTAAAAGAGAGAGGAAAAGGAATATAGACAGTTATATAAAGAAATAAAAAGTTTTAAAAAATAAAGTCTTTAAAGAAAAAATAAAAGTAATATATAAAATAAACCATGTAGAGATTGAAATCACACAGAGAATCTGGATTATATTGCTGTTGAAATTTTTAACTGCAGAAAAACATTTGATTGTAAAAGCTGCTGAGCTAAATCAATATGTATATTTTAAAGATACCTTTTTTTAGGTTTTAAAACTTTATTTGCATATTTAAAAAATTGTGCATTCCAATAATTAAAATCATTTGAACAAAAAATGGCACTCTGATTAAACTGCATTTTACATCCTGCAGGACACCTTGGACCACCTTGAATTTTACTCTGTATTTCACCACCTCCCACCCAACTTTTTCCTTCTCCAACATACAAGTTCTTTTCCCTCCCTGCCAGCCAGCCAGACAGATGGGTGGGAAAGGCAGGGGAGGCCTTCCTGGTCAGTAGTTCTGATTCTTTGATGTGAAAGGGGCAGCACAGCCATTTAAACTTGATCCAACCTCTTTGCATCTTACCAAGTTAAACAGCTAAAAGAAGTAAAATAGGGCTGGAGAGATGGCTCAGCGGTTAAGAGCACTAGTTGTTCTTCCAGAGGTCCTGAGTTCAAGTCCTAGCGACCACATGGCGCCTCACAGCCATTTGTAATGAGATCTGGTGCCCTCTTCTGGTATACAGACAGACTGTATAACGTAATAAATAAATCTTTAAAAAAAAAAGTAAAATAAGAAGGCAATGCTTGTGGAATGTACAGCGCATATTGGCGCCTCAGTACAATTCGCCTGCTTGCTTCTCTTGTTCAATCTTTTTTTTTTTGAAGGCAGAAGATTTTTCTCTTGCATTTCTGTCTTCTTCAATTTCTACTTATCGAATTTCTCAGGTTTGTCAGACATGGTTGCCAGAAGGAGCCAAGCAAATTTCGAGAACAAGGAGAGTCCGATCTGCTCAGAGGCCGCTGGGGATTTAAAGATATCTTGATTTCAAAATTTATGTCTAAGGATACATTGTTGGTTTTTAGAGGTGCTCTTACCCTGTGAGGAAAAGTCACAAAACACAACAGAATCCACTAACAAGAGTTTTATTAAGATGAGGAGAGAAAGATAGACGTGATCAGGCCTGCTGAAAGGACACGTGTGTGAAGGGGGCGGGGGGAACATGGGGGCCAGCTTTTAAAGGCTAAGCCACACCTGCACACACAGGCCCACGTGGCTATTCCACACATGCACATAGATCACATGTTTGCATCCGTGCTTTGCACAACTATGAGGCCACGGGGTCATGGGTCACACAGACATACGACCCAGAAATGACTAGGCAGAAATGACTAAGTGTCCCACCGGGCATGCTGGACCATGGGGGGTCGTGGTGGGAATTCCTATCATACGTGGCTTTGGAAAAGAGGTTCTGCTTTTGTTTCCACAGAAGATGAGAACCTATGGATTGCTTTCAGGCTAATATGGATTGATCAAGAAAGACCCCCTGAGAGGCCCAAATGATCCAACATCCAAAAACAGCTTCACGACAACTGGCTCAGAGCATACAGCATCACAGACTACTCCAGTCAGGACTTAACCATAATTCTTAATTTTCTCAGGATCTCCATAAGAATACAGCACACTTTATCAGCTGGAAGTAGCCTAGAAAACTATGCCCACATTACCAAAAAGTGGATTATGGATGTTTGTCTTTGTTTAGGTTGTTGGTTACAAATTGTTATTGGTCATAGTCAATATCTTTCTAAAGAAAAAGGGGGATACAATATAGATATGATAGGATGAAAGGGTAAATTAATGAACGTACTTTCAAAGAACAACAATTTGTTTAAAAATGTTTTACATTTACCAAGAAACTAAAAAAATAAAAATTATAAAAATACATACATAAAAAATGTTTTACATTGCTATGGATTTTAGTTTATTGATACAAATTTAGAGTTGATTTTATTATACTATATATATTTATTTCTACTCTCACTTAAGGTATTATGTTTATGTAACATTTAAATTATAAGAATAATTAAGAAATATAGACTAATAATTATTCTTCTATGATAGTCAAACTTATAGTCATGTTAAGATTTCTAGGTATACATAGATATATTTCAGTTAGGTAGGTAATCTTCAAACACTTCAAAGACCTACAGAATATGGCATTTAAAATGCTTTTAAAACTTAGACTTTCCTGGACAATGAAACCCATCTGCTTCTGGCAGCACCAATTAATTCAAAGAGAAAGATGGGCATCAAAGACACTCCATATGAGTTTATCTTGTTCATGGCAAAACAAGAAACTGTTTTTGCCTGGACTGCTTAACAAAATGTTGTATCGACTGGTCATGCAGGACCCATAGGAAGGTGACCACTGAACTTTGCAAGGTGAGATGGTCCTTCGGGTTCCTGCTTCACAGAGGAGAATGCCAGACATTCTACAGGACACAGAAGCAACTGAGAGACTCTAGGCCTATAGACTGAAGAATGGATACCCCAACGATGCAGAAGAACTTTGGGTAACTGTCC